TTGTCAGTCATGTTCACAGTGTGTCATGGAGCTTAAGTCTAGACTGTGCAAAATTGAACTTGTGGCAAACTAGCAACTGTAAAGCAACCAAAGTCTTCATGACTGAAAACTCTCTATAGTTCGGACATCGGTGTATGCATGTAAATGTACTCTGTGACAGAATATTCACTCTTAATGAAAGGAATGTTTATCAAGCAAGTCAAAATTCTAGCTAGTTGTACATGTGTACTTTCATCATAATTAAGCAATTAGTTTGCATGCTTTTATTTATCACCTAAAGGTAGAGAGTTGATATACTGTACATTTGTACCTAGCTGGTGGTGTTGCTTCATATTTATGATCATAAACAAAGTACACAAATAATCCTCTAGTAATTGCAGACTTTCAAGAACATTTCTACAAAAGAAGACATTTCATTTCCCTTTGTGGCTCTGTCTTCCCCCAGGTGACACCACCTGGGAACCATTACACAAAACTTGTCATCAGTGACAAATGACAGTTTTTGTTATAAGCTGGTGAAGTCCTTGCTTCTGATTGGTTATCATCAGATTGGTTATCATCAGATTTGTCATCGATTTTTGTCATTGTCATTGAAAAAAGGCTTTGTGAAACAGGTCCCTGGCTGAATGGCAGTATTATGCATTGGATCCAAGGTATGTCTTTAATGATAAATGTTGAGTGACTACTTTTTACATACTTCATTTGTTTACTTGTATGCTAGGTGTAGTACATTCTTTTATACAGCAGCGTTGTTGATAGTCGGTGTGAAATAAATTATTAAAATTGAAGGAAGGACTCAGAATTTATAAAATACATACAATGACTGCCTATGTTATTTTGTTTACTATTTGTCTTGATCTTTCTCCGTTTCCCTTTGTCTTCCCCTCGTTCTCCTAATCTCTCTCTTTCTTTTCTCTCTTTATTCTCTCTCTGCGGTAAATGTTGCCGTAAATATGCCCACTTTTAAAGCAGAAAAGTTTTATGAAACTGATAGTGGCCACTGGAAGTTTTATGAAACTGATAGTGGCTACTGGAAGTTCTATGAAACTGATAGTGGCCACTGGAAGTTTTATGAAACCGATAGTGGCTACTGGAAGTTCTATGAAACTGATAGTGGCCACTGGAAGTTTTATGAAACTGATAGTGGCTACTGGAAGTTCTATGAAACTGATAGTGGCTACTGGAAGTTTTATGAAACTGATAGTGGCTACTGGAAGTTTTATGAAACTGATAGTGGCCACTGGAAGTTCTATGAAACTGATAGTGGCCACTGGAAGTTTTATGAAACTGATAGTGGCCACTGGAAGTTCTATGAAACTGATAGTGGCCACTGGAAGTTTTATGAAACTGATAGTGGCCACTGGAAGTTCTATGAAACAGATAGTGGCCACTGGAAGTTTTATGAAACGGACGGTGGCCACTGGAAGTTTTATGAAACGGACGGTGGCCACTGGAAGTTTTATGGAACAAGCCCTTCAGACTTCATGCACATATTCTTTCCACTAGACATGGAGTCTGAAAATATATATTTTTTTAAAATATGTTTTTTAGATTCAACAATAAGCACAAGAAACGGACATCTTTTATGTTACATGAGATTGTTTTAATGCCTAGTAATGAGGTAATACATGATCTATAAAAGGCTAAAAAATTACAAGTTTGAAATTCACACAGAGATGAATTAATATTTCACATATTTGGCAAGCGCTGTTAATCACCCAGCATGATTAGATACGATTAGATTACACAGGTACACTTGTATGTATCAAACTCCAGGATGGTCCGCAAGGGATTGTAACGTGTAAAAGTGACAGGTTTGGAAATCAGAGACAATTAAAATGCCAAAGCAACACGAGGTTACATGAAAACTATGACAATGATTTTTGAAATACATGTATGAGTCAGTTATACAATCCCCCCCCCCCCCCCTATTACAAGCATCATGGCAAAGTGACCAAATTTTGGGTGTGTAAACAAATGGCAAGAGATGGGATGTGAACGAGGTTGTGTACTGTATGAACCAGGCTTGGTTCACGAGGTGCACAACTTTTTGAATAACTTTACACATCTTTACACAACAAATTTACAGTGTATGCACTTGGAGAGCAAAATAATGATTCTGTTTTATTTACTTACGTAAAGCGCTTTTAGCGTATTTATTTCAATTTTAAAGGCGCTTTATAAATATCAGTATGTACGGTATGTATGGGTTTAAAGTACCGACACCTGCTCGCAGTAATTATGTATGTGAAGCACAGATACCGGTTTCTATATTCAAGGTGGTTTTCTACTTCATATTAGAACAAGGATTAAAGCGCTCTCGTTTCTTCAAACAAGAAATCATACATAATGTCCACTGTTGAGCTTAGGCTAAAAGGCTACAAAGAAATGGAATCCACTGAAATCAAACAGTCACAGTTATGAGAAACATGCCATGGACTACAATACAATGATAAATGTACATTCAAGCATGGTATAGTAAATATATACAATTGATGGCAAGAGATATCTGATATAAAAAGAGGTTCATCATGTAATATAAAGGAAGAGTGGGCTGGGGTAATAATGAGTTGTGCCATTATAAGTTGTGATTTGTAACAGTTTTTCAATAACACAAGAATAGCTGCATTTACAATGCAAGCAAAAACCATTGGTTGGTGTTCTCACATTCCGTAGCTCTGTCAGAAGTTGCTAGGCAACTGCCCATAAACCAGACGCAAACCCAAATTGAAAAGAAACAAACCCTCTAGTGAGTCTATTTTTTTTAACACCGGCCAAAACTCCAAAGGTTCCTGTTCACATGACCCTACTCAATTTGATGCTAACGCATGCAGAGCAGCGTTAAATGGTGCATGCGCACAACTCGCAATAAACCAGAATAAGCAAACATCAGTGGATTTTATGGGTTTTCCAATACAGGTAGTGGAAATGGTACGTTTTTTCTACAATGTTAATGGGCCTAAAGATCAACTTGCCTGCTCAAAGACACATCTTCTTCTTCTTCTTCTTCTTCTTCTTCTTCTTCTTCTCCTCCTTCTTCTCCTCCTCCTCCTCCTTTTTCTTCTTCTGCTTCTTCTTCTTCTTCTTCTTCTTCTTCTTCTTCTTCTTCTTTTTCTTCTTTTGCCTCCTTCAGGTTTGAAAGTTCTAGCAGATACCTTCTCAAGGGGTATCAGGCACCATTAGGATGTTTACCTGATCACAAGTATTATTAATCATCAAGAGTGGACTACACATCTTTCAACATGTCTTCAATTCAATTCAATTCAATTCAAGGTTTATAAAAAACATGACTGGCAATCACAGACTGAATTGTATTTACAGTGCAAGTAAAATACACAAATTGCAACAATAAGAAATTAGAAATTATGCAATGCCTATAATTTGGAATTTCCCCACTGTATATCTTTACAGTGAGCGTGGGTTAAGTACCTTATTATACACTACATATAGTTATAACTCTGGGGAGTGTTTCACAAAGACTAAGATCGACTTAAGTTGAACTTGAACTATGGCAGGCTGTTCATGCCTCTAGTTCCTCTAACCATTCCTGGCATTGGTTTCTCAAGGGACGTACAAATTGTGGTCACAAATCTACAGAATTTACATTTTTTGATAGTTCATTATTGAAGTAAAAAAATATATTTAAAGATCATAATTGAGAGAGCAACAAGTGGCATGGATGGCCTGCCATAGTTCAAGTCCAACTTTAGTCGATCTTAGTCTTTCTGAAAAAAAAACCAGGTTCACAGTCTCTATAGATGATTCATAATTGCTGCTGGATTCAATATTCTGCAGTACAAAATTAAATACATACATCTCTTGATTAGAGTGTGATCAATTTTTCAGCATACAAGATCAAAAGGAGAAGAGTTCATTTCAGTTGTAATTACTTTCACTTCACAAAAACATTAAATTCTTCCATTTGGATAGATTAATTTGAATTCAACATCATAATTTTCCTACATTTTTGCTACCTTGGCTTGAGCATATAAGCCATATACACAGTTTACATGATCTCTGCACTTCGTGCATCAAAGAATACTTTCCATACAAGTATACATGTAGATCACACAATCAGGACTGTAACTCATCCTCGTTATCAAATACGTTTGTATATATTTTTGAATCGTTAGTACTGGAATGTGTATTGTTACATGGAACATTTCAGGGGGGGGGGGGGGGACAACAATCCATCACTTCTTTCACGATAACCCATTGACTACAGGTGGTTCCTGCATTCAATAATATGGGAATGATGATAATAATAACAATCTGGATATACTACACTTAATACTGTCTCTCAAGCGCTTTGTAGATATTATTATCCCAGTCATTGGATTCATTCATGCATAATGTGCACCATCTCCACTCTCTGGGGAGTATTCCTACCATAAGGACACCATGGGGGCATATGACGAACAGTAACTCAAATGCTTTTGTCATCCTACCAGGTTCCCATTTCTATCCAGGGTATGGAGTGGCAAATGTAGATTAAAGGTACTATGTCCCATTTGCAGGCCAAACAAATGAAAAAGTTAAATTCCAACTGCATTTGAAAGATACTACTAATTTAGAACTTCCCTAAAAAAGATGGGGCTTGAAAATGTCTTCAAGTGGGAAAATAAAGACTATTAGTTGTCAAATCGACTTTAGGGCTATAGAGCCCAAAAGTAATAGTCTTGATTTTCAGACAATTGTACCGAATGGTCATACGTTTTATGCTGCGCAAAGATTCAATCAGTTTAATCTTGGCCATTACAAGAAGTGGGTTATTGATTTAGACAAATGCTCATGTACCCTTTACAACTCTTTTCATGTATGTTATTACCAAAGAAGAAAAAAAGCCAGTCAGTCACTCAATAGTGTCTGACAGTGAAGTCTAGCAAGTAAATGGGTTTCCTTGCATAATTTGAATATGAGGACACTGCTAACGTTTAAATTTCACAGATAGGACATACATGACATATTCATAATTCCTGCAAAGTTCTACAGCATTTGAGGTTGGCTGCAAAAGGGACATAGTACCTTTAATGCCTTGTCTATGGACATTAGTGCCATGTCAGGGAGCGAAACCCATGATGACCTTTGCATTTCAAGTCATCTTTGGTGAGAAGAATGTAAATGGATGTTCCCAATTTGAAGAAGATACTTAAATTTATTCATAGTTTCTGAATCTACTCAGAGTCTTTTATTTTCTTCTCCTATGGGCTTATGCTGTCCTTTTTTCTTGTGCATGAGTACATGTACATTATGATGATGACTGACGCTAGATCTCTTTCCACATATATCACACTCATAAGGTTTCAGCTTCTCATGGACGGCACGTACGTGTAACTGCAGCGAATGCTTGGCAGTGAATCCCTTCCCGCATATTCCACACTCATGCGGCCGGATACCTGTATGCCGGAGCGCATGTTTCTTCATGTCCCACTGCTTAGCAAACCTCTTGTTGCAGAACGAGCATGGAAACTTGAGCTCTACCACACTGTGTACCCTGCCTACGTGTGCTTTCACTAGTTCCTTCCTTCCGAAGCCCTTCCCGCATACGTCGCACTTAAATGGTTTCAGGCCTGTGTGTTCCCCATGGTGGTTCTTCAGGGCATTCTCGGATGCGAAGGAACGTGGACATTCTGTACACTTGTAGAGTTTGTCTGTAACGTTGTGTTTCTGTTGGTGAATTTCATAACGACAGCGATCCACAAACTGCTTTGGACAATACAAGCACTTATATCTCCCCCTGCCTTCGTGGATCTCTCGCTCATGGGTCTTCACACAGCTAACAGAGGTGTATCTCTTTGGGCAATATTTACACTTGAATCGAAGCGAAGGATCCTGAAAATAATCTGGTTTCTTGCCAAGCATATCCTTGTTGGAAGTATCCCCATTATCTTCATGTACAACATCCATGTTCCGTATCACTCTTCTTGGTTTGTTGACTTTGTTCAACTTTATACGTTTGTGGGTCGTCCTGTTCTCAGGGTTGACGAGTTCCTGGATCGTGAGTTCTCTCTGTGGCGCCCTCTCTTGGTTCCTCTCATGCTCCTTCTCGTGTTCTCTCATCCCATGTTTCCATCTGAATTGCAAAGGGCACATGCTACAAGTGTAGTACTTGTCCGCCTTCCTGTGAATTTTCTGTTCATGGCAATACAAGGATTTGGGTGAGAAGTATGTCTTAGGACACTGCTGGCATTGGTAGATCATTCTTTGATGGCTAGCCATGTGTCTCACAAGCTTATGCTTACTGGATTGTGTTTCTCCGCAGATTGGGCAATTGTGTTTAGTTGTGAATGTATGAAACATCATGTGTGCTTGAAGCCTGCCCTCTGTGGTGAACGTCTTACAACAAGTCACGCAAACAAGATCTTTCCCAGACTTGGTGGCAGGCTTCACATCAGGTTTCACTTCATGAGTTCTACTTTCAATATTCTTGTTCAATTCCCTGGAAGACTTTGATGACTCCTTACCTTCCAGAGTCTGTCTGTGGGTTTTGTGGCTAGTTGAAGGTGGAATGTGGCTAGTTGAAGGTGGATTGTGGCTAGTTGAAGATGGATTGTGGCTAGTTGAAGGTGGATTGTGGCTAGTTGAAGATGGATTGTGGCTAGTTGAAGATGGATTGTGGCTAGTTGAAGATGGATTGTGGCTAGTTGAAGACGGAATATGGCTAGTTGAAGATGGAATATGGTTAGTTGAAGATGGCATATGGCTAGTTGAAGGTGGAATATGGCTAGTTGAAGGTGGAATCTCGCTTGAATTTCTCCTCTCCTGCTCAGTACGGTGATTAGCTACAGGCTTCAGAGGTTGAGTTGCGCGTCTGAACATCTTACCCTCCTCTCTCAGCGCTTTCTCCAAAGATTGCTTGCTTTCTGAAGTCTTGCTTCTAGTTTCAAAGGTAACGACAGGTCGAAGGTCGGTAGATGATTTGCCTTGGTGGGATAGCTTGATGTGTCTTAGCATAAGTTTTGGGTCGGTGTAATGAATATCACATCGAGGACAGGAGAAGGCATTCAATTCTGTATAGGAATGGTAAAATCAGAACAGAATGTAAGACAGTGTTGCAAACTTAACCTTTGATACTTGTACGGGTTGCTTTAAAGCCACACTGTACTACTTGTAGGTACTTGCTCCCTCTATATAGAAAACTTCCCCAATCGGTGCCTGTTGGTCCCCCATGATCCTCTTTTTCTTATGTGAATTGAGAGCTGAGTTAATGAGATAGCCACCTGTCACAGTGACCTTGCTGGCTAGGTGTGTTCGCTAATCCCTTCTTGCTGAACTAGTACAGCTGGCCTTTAATACAATTGAATTAATTCATTTGCTCCTGCCTCTATTTCTCCAGGCTTTATAAGTTATAGGGTTAGGGTTGCAATTGCAATTGGGTCTTAGGTTAAATTTAGTGTTAGGGTTAGGATTATTATTACTGTTCGGTCCAGGGTTGAAGTTTGCAATAAGGTTAGTGTGCAAGAATGACAGCGTAGCAATTGTTGCTGGAGCATAAATGTTGTACGATATAACTCACAATGAAACTTTTTATTTTGGGTGCATCATATCAAATTTTTCAGAAAGTTTTTTGAGGTTCATTTTCGACTCTCATGGGCTCCTTTTTCCATTTTGGCGGCTACTTTTGTCATTAAATCGTCATCCCATCCACAAAATTTGTTGAGGTTTTTAAGTACGCGTGACATTGTAAAATGTGAGGGATGGATGGAGTTATTTTTGACTAAATTTCTGTATACATTTTTACACAGAGGTTCAGCGGCAACCAAAAAATACACACAATGACTGCAAAGCTGGGAGAGAGCAGCCGCTCATAGTCGTGCATCAATTGTTACAGGGGCGATTTTTGATAATTTCTTTTTTGAAGTCGCCCCCGTAATTGCTTTTTTTCTTTTTTTTGGGGGGGGGGGGGGCTCTTTTTGGTATTCCTGGGACAACTTCACCCGCCGCCCCCATGTATTTTTTCCCCCTGCATCAGCAGAAAGCTAAGATCTAGGCTACCTACCTGAGTGGAATGTGAGTTTCCCAAGGTCGGTATCGAACCCAACATGGTTTGAATACTCCTTGCTGTAGAACACCCTGAGCTCACTTCCTGGTTCAATGCACTTTGTAGTCCTGTAGTAGATGTTTCCATAGAGCTGTATTGCTTCCATGTTCTGCTCAGCTTGCCTCTGTGTACACTGTATATGAGATAGCCAGTCTGACCCACCGTCTATGTACAATAGTACATTGCTTTTGGTGCACAGCTGTATCCAAAGACAAACATGATTTCTGTGAAAGGACAACATTTTTTCTGTTTTGAAATCTTTTTTTTTTAATTGTTTTGCAAGTTTCATACTCTTGTTTCTTGTATTATTGTAATGCTGGTGGGAAGCATATTTCCACATTGTGGACGAAATAAATCAATATCAATATCATGACTCTATGAAAATCTTTTGCACTTTACTACAGTGTACAAAAAAAGAGAGAAGCTCTATAGGTTTTGTTTACAAAGAAAACTAGGAAATTAGATTGTTAGTATCATATATAGGAAAATATCATTATCATGCATACATACATTATACAGCAAACCTGTCTATAGCAACCGCCCAAGGGAAACATAAAAAGTGGTCTTTGTAGGCAAATTCCTTTAGTACATGTTTCAATGAGAAACCATTTTAAAGGGAAACAAAAATCTTGGTCTCTGTATATAGGTGGTCACTAAAGCAGGTTTGACTATATATCATATCTTAAATTCTCAACAGAACATTGCCATTAGTTCTCATGCCCGTATGGGTAATGCTTAGTATCAGTGAACTGTAATCAAAGTCAACTGCATGCAGGTACGCAATTAATTGGGCTGTAATTATTCCTGGACTTATGGTTCGGTTGGATCTATTGCATACTATTCAGACCGACAGTATTCATTGCACAGGCATACAAGAATCATATGACCTTTTGTCTAGCTTGAATTTTGTGCAAAGAAACAGTGTGTAACCAAACGTTGCAAAGCAAAATACATTTTTAAGCATCATTTCTAACAAAAGCTTGACAAAGAATCAGGGTCCCGATCTAATCTGCCCTATCGTCCAAAAAAAATTGTTATCGCAAGCGTGAACTTGTGATTAGATAGCTGTCATGCTATCGACCTTTTCAAAATGAGTATCTTTATGACTTTTCTTTTTATATGATGTTGTTTTCTGGTCTGTACACTCCTTACGCAATACAGTCAAACCTGCTTTAGTGATCACCTGTCTTTAAAGACCACAATTTTTGTTTCCCTCGAAAACTGTTTCTCATTGAAGCATACTACTAAAGGGCCTTTACATGAAGACCACTTGCCTTTAAAGACCACTTTTCTTATCTCCCTTGAACGGTCTTTGTATACAGGTTACACTGTACAATGATTCTTTATATGTGATGTTTCTTAACAAGGGTTTGAATGAATTTTGTTTAGTCTAAACAGGACTCTCAAAATTAGTATCTTTATGATATTTTTTTAAAAATACGATGTTGTTTTCTAGTCTGTACACTCCTTTTGAAATACCATGATTCTTTATATGACGTTTCTTTACAAGGACGAAACGTTGTTTAGTCTTAGTATGACTGACCTCCCAAGATGACTGTGACAAGCACCCCTCATCCTCTCCCACCAGTTCACCTTCCAGCGGTCCATACTGTTTACCAGCAGGGATCTCCTCCTCAGCGGTCACTCCAACGATCTTCTGGTCTTCATCACGACGAGATGAGGAAAACTTGTACCAGAATCCCTCCGGTAATGGTGGAACATCCAAGTCTTCTTCTTCTTCATCCTCCGTCTCCATCTCGTCATCATCCCACTCCTGATAGCTATCATCCTCATCAGCGTCCTCATCGTTCTCCTCTTGCTTTACCTCCTCCTCATAATCATTATTATAATCTTCACCTGTCTCTAACTCACTTATATCTGACTCTAGACTGTCATCATCATCATCATCATCGCCGTCACTGTCATCCTCCTCCTCCTCTTCCCTCTCCTCCTTGTCTCTTCTTTCCTTCTCCTCTTCCTCCTCCTCATCATACCACTCTCCATCCTCCACCCATTCATCTTCATCCCCCTGCTGTGATGAGGCATAACGGGACCAGTCCTCAACACCTTTCTGGTAATAATAATAATAAAATCAAAATTAGAACATGAAATTTGGTTATTTGGTACATTTTTATTCTCTAAATATGCACTATGCAATATAAATTTGGTTAGTACAAAGATTAAGAAATACACTTTTGCAAGAAAAGATTCTGTATTAAAGGTAATACAAAGTTTTGGAAAATTTTGAAAGTTGGGTGGATTGTGATTCTTTACAATTTTGATATATTTGGAGGCCCCTGTGGATGTACAGTATTATAAGCACAAAAAATGTAGCCTCTAAAACACTTCTGCTTTTGAGAAAACTTAATTGTAAAAATTTACCGGTGCTCCCGGTTAAATTTGATAAATTTCAAATAGCGCCTACGGGCCGCTCTACAATGATAGCTGCGACCATGAACATCTCAGAATATGTATATATCTTCTTCTTCTTCATGAAAAGTGCAGGCTTCATGAAATTAAGATTAACGCACTGTGATAGCAGTTATATCATGCTTTACAAATTCAGTGGGATATATTTTTGTCAATACATGAACTAGATTAATATTTCAACTTGAACAAGAGCCATACCTCAATTAGTTCCTCTCTTTGTCTCTTTACAGGTTTCACATTACTTCTCCTCCTCTGGGCAGCTGTCCAAATCTTCTGTCCATACACCGTCCGATCTGGGGCCATAGCAAGTGGCCTGATGTTCTGTCCATTCGACGTCCTATCCCTGACCATAGCAAGCGTTCTGGTCTTCTGTGTACCAATGGTCCTGTTTGTAACCGTAGCAATTCCGCTTTTCCTCACACTCTCACTCTTTGACCCTTGATGGATGTTCTGAACCAGTCCACTACCGCACTTTTTCTTGTACCGTATAATCTTCTTTTCTTGAGAAGCTGGCGGTAACTTTGTCCGACCTGGATCTCTAGACAGTGTCTCTGGTCTTTTATTAGATTCCATGATTCTACCCCTAGCACTTCCCTCATCTTTTCCAAGATGTTTTGTAATATCATCAATGATACCTGAAGATAAAATGAGGACAGTGTCTCCTTTGCTACTAAGTGGTTTAGTTTGTCCTAAGCCTTTCGATGCACCAGAATTGCGCATCCTTGAAGAATCTTGTGGAAGACCATCATTGGTTCTAGCAGTGCTTTGACCTGCACCTTGCTGTCCTAACCCAGTCCGATCAAAAGCCATTTGTGTTTGAATCTTCCTGGAAGGCCCATGGCTACTCCAACCCGTCGACACCTGACTGGCGCTAGAGGCCTGATTGTTTGCTGGTAACTCTTGCTTCAAGATACCAGATGGTCGTTGTTGGGGTGGTTGACTGGCCGATGTCGGTGTTTGCATGGTAGTGGGTGTGGTTGCAGGAGCCACTGAGCTTGGAATAACTGGAAGACTGGGGCTCATCGAGTGCTGCCATCCTTTTTCAGCTAGTTGGCTGGCAAACGACATTTGTCCTGTATCTGTAAAAAGAATATGAACCCACACATGTACATCAATAATAATGATAATCACATTTGTATAGCGCTTGATACTACGCACTATTAGCACCTTTCTTTGTAATTATTGTAAATTAGGTCATTGCATTCAACCGCTAATCCGCACATGATAGCTAGTGCATACACTCCGCTCCCCGGGGAGTATTCCAGCCAGGCGCCACTTTACAAGTGCACACCTGCCCATCTAACCTCATCAACGTTCACATCCTACCGGCCCATAGTACCAGGTACCCATTGAACATTTTATATGCACAAACTGTTTTTTTTTTATTTTAACATTTCTGTCAGTTGACATTATTTCTATATTTCATGCAAGTGCCATTCTTCGAAATCTGATCAAAGTTAGTGTATAGTGTGCTGTGGGCCTCGTAGATAAACCATCACAACAATCATTTTCTTTAGGAAAGTACATTCAGGATCGGGGGTTGTCTGTAAGATCGTGTGTGATTCATGGAACATTAAATGGAAACTAGTCCAAATTAGAGTTTCAAAATATCTGTCAAGATGTACGGATACACAAGCTGTCCAAAGTTAGGTCATATAGCCTTACCAGCCTGAAATGTTTGCATGGTTGCTTGACTGCTGGTTGCATCAACAAAGGTGGCGGGATGTTGCTGCTCATGTTGCTGCCCATGTTGCTGCCTATGATGTTGTTCATGTTGCTGAGATGTGTACCCAGTGGGTTGGTAGATGAGATGTTGCTGGTAGTGAGAGAGTGGTTGATGAGTGGTATCGTGTTGTAGCCCCTCTCCACCGTAGTAGCGCTGATGATTCTCCTCCATACTCCCATGTATTCAATCAAGATTAAACAAACTGCACAGAAGATAAAATCACATCAACCAATTAAACCTGGTCCATGCGTTATAATACTTGTTATATAACCAGGGCCCCATTTCACAAAACTTGTCTCAGTGATAAATGACAGGTTGTGGTAAAAACTAGAGAAATCCTTGCTTCCGATTTGTCACTGATTTTTGTCATTTGTCAGGGAATAAAGGTTTTGCTATTGCATGAAAGAAGGGGTTCCATGTCGTATTCAAACTATCTAGTGGGGTCTATGAGCTTCAAATAATTTCTACAAAAAGAAAAAAAAAAAAAGGATTGTTCTACAAATACCCTCATATTCAAAATATGTCAAGAAACAGCTGAAATGTTTGGACAATACACAAAAATCTACCCCCCCCCTCCAAAAAAAAAGGAAAAAAAAGAAAAAGAAAATCATCAAAAAAATGATAGACTTTCACCGAGGTCGATTTCATTGTTTTTCTTTTACAAACAATAACTTTGAATTCACAATCGATCAAATTAGTAATTTCATACATATACATTCATCTACTTTATGTGTTTGCAATGCTGTGTGTGCGTGAGCTATGTGTGAAGTGTGCCACCAGCTGTTAAAAGCAGGGCATCTCAAAATCTCAGCGGTGTCTAGACCGAATTTTCCGTCTCTTTCGTTCGTTAGCCTCTTATTGGGGTAGGGTCGGCTCTCTCTTTAGAGACGGAAACCGTCTATACACATTCCCTTGATAACGCCACGGCCATTTCAGGTCGTAGCGTTTTGCCCCCCAAATCCCCCAAAATGTCATTTTACCTCGTGCATATCCAAATGTAAATTAGGCCTAGATGTCTAGGCTATAATACATCAGTTCCACTTAACAACTTGACTGAAATAATCAGTTTAATAGTCCCTTTTTAGGAAATTATGGGTCAAAATCGAAATCCATTTTGAAAATCTTTTTCAACAAGTTGGTAAGTGGAACTGATTTATTATAGCCTAGATCTAGGCCTAATTTACAATAACATGCACGAGGTAAAATGACATTTTGGGGGATTTTGGGGGCAAAACGCTACGACCTGAAATGGCCGTGGCGTTATCAAGGGAATGTGTATAGACGGTTTCCGTCTCTAAAGAGAGAGCCGGCCGACCCTACCCCAATAAGAGGCTAACGAACGAAAGAGACGGAAAATTCGGTCTAAGCGGTGTCGTGACGTGTCACACATTAGTTTAAGTAACTTAGTTTTATGTTTTAATTGACTTTGCCATTGAACTTAAGTTGCGCTGAAGTATAAGTAGTTACCTGTTGTAGATCTAGAACTGGCCCTCTCTCACTTAAATTTGAAGCCACTCGAGCGGATCGATCATGTGATTGTGAATGTGAATGTTGGGAGCGACTCCCTGGAGTCATCCTGTAATGACCCGGTGCAAAACTCCCCAACTTAAAGGGATCCGGTAACTTTGTCTCAGATTCTGAAACAAAATTCAGGATTTAGCTCATGATGCAATGATAATTATAAACCTTTAGGTCAGTCAGGAACCCCATGACTTTTACAAGCCGATCGCCTGTCTGATTATCAAGATATTTATGATTGGAATTACAAATTTTGAAAACCGTTCGCCTGACGGTTTTCATAACACTACAGTCTATTGAGGGAAACGAGTATGGTAAAACCGGTCACTCAAAGATTTTTACTTTTTTGAGGCACTTCTTGATCATTTTGAAGCGCAATTTTTGCAGGGCTTCAATATTACACCATATCACAGACACTGAAAACACGTAGATCTAGGGCCGTGTATCTCAGATTTAACATTGTTAAACGATCCCTTTAAGGTAAAGAAAGCTCCTCTACAGTACAAGTCATTACTTTGTCTTAAGCGCCAGACTAGCCGAGCTCGAGTAGACCTAGGCTAGAGGCTAGAGCTACATGAAAACCCATCTATGTCAAAGTTAAAATAATAGAGCCATGGCGCGGCGTCGCCAGCCAGGCCCATGGGCCATATTTTTAGGCTTTGCGCCACCCGCCCGCCCGCCTGGCCCGACGGCGGGGCGGAGCTCTTTGTGTGACCTAGGCTATAAATCTTCAAGTTCACTCCTGCTTGGCCTTGGATGGACTGAGTTGGACCTGGGTGAGCTGCGTCGAGAGCTCTGTTTTGCTTTAAAAAGTTAGATCTAATGGCCTAAATTATACCAATGGCTTATTTAATGAAATGATCCAGTGGTTTTGTTTTTTTAAAGAATGAGAACTTAATAGAGTCTTACATTTCTCTTCGACAGCAATTTCTGGTGTGATTTCCAGGCATCACGGCTTTGGATGGACATAATTGTAAGCTCTAAAAGTCGAGTCCGGTACGTACGGGTACGCGGCGCGCGATCGCGAGCGCGCGTTTTCGGCCGGCTCAGTCAGTCAGTGTGTGTCGCGCACAGAGATATTTATTGTTGTGACAATTTTAGAAGAAAAGTAAGTTTTCTTTACCTAATAACTTTTGTATTTTATTAATTTATTTTAAAGTATTTTCATTTGTATCAATTTGAATGTTTCCTATTCTTCTAGATGCCGCAGAAACATAAAAAGAATTTGTTATTTCAACACATGTTCCCATACACTTGAATTTGTGTTTGTTAAAGTAGACTAGATGACTAGGCCTAGAAAAAGTAATTGAACTATGAGGCTGAAGAAGTAGATGAGTGAGTGTGTGTGTAATTTAGGTTTTACAGACGTGTTTCAATCTTCTTCTTCTTCTTGTTCTTCCTCCGCTATTTCGAAGATCAGCGATCCCATGGGCCGCAAGACATATAGATCTAAGTTAGTCTGTAGAGTTTTAGTAATTTAGACAAAGAAAATAATGTAGATCTAGACAGTAAACGTAGAGGGCAGACGCTGCCAAACATAAGCAAGCACAGGGCCAAAGTTAAATATTATACTTCGTTTTTGTCTCGCCTGCGTAGCAAAAAGCGAGACATAGGCGCCGCTTTTCCGGTGACGGCGATAGCGACGGCGATAGCGACGGCGACGGCGGCGGCGGCGGTGTCAACATCAAAAACTTAACCTAAAGTTAAGTTTTGAATTTTTGATATAATTTTTAAAGTATAAGTTCTTAGTCGATGAAACTTTGACTATAGGGTAATCAAGTATCTCCAATCATGTGAGTAGAATTTCAGATCACAAAGTCAAGGTCAAAGGTCATTTCAGGTCAACAGACTTGGACTATGTTGTAGCATCATCATCATCAAAAACTTAACCTAAGGTTTAGTTTTGAATTTTTGATATAATTTTGAAAGTATAAGTTCTTAGTCAATGAAACTTGGACTATAGGGTTATCAAGTCTCCCCAATCATGTGAGTAGAATTTCAGGTCACTATTAAGTTAAGGTCAAAGGTCAAAGGTCAAAGGTCATTTAAGGTCAACAAACTTAGACTTTGTTGTGGCATCAACATCAAGATTTTCAAAATGCTTCTTTGTTATTTTTCAACCGATTTTGATTTGGTTTGCTTAATATTGTAGAGCTAACTTTTGTACAGTAAACTTCTACACAGAATTTTGAAATTGTTCTCCATTAATTAATTATGGTATTTTTTGCAAATTTATTCCAAAAATAACAAAAATTGCTTCTTTTCCCTCATTTCTTGACCGATTTTGATTTGGTTTGCCTTATCTTTTAGAGCTAAATTTGGAACACTAAACTTCTACACAGAATTGTGAGATTTTGCTCCATTGCTTATTTATGGTACATCATGCAAATGAAAAGAAATTATGTCCCTTCTAGGGCATCAAATTTATATTTTTTGACCAGTTCAAAAGTGTACCACATAAAATTTACGATATTTGTTGTTGGAGATGCAGATGAGCGCTACCTCATTGACGTTCTGGTTTATCATATTGAATTGCGTTATGCAGGCGAGACCACCGAGAGCGTTTCCCTTGTCGAGTTGGTTGCTAATAACTTCACAAACAAATTACGTCTGGGAACCGACCGACCTTTAAACGTCACCATCCAAAAGACGTGACTCAGTTTCGAACCTGCGTCTTCGGCTGAATCAGTTTGTATTTTGTAACTTCCATTTTTAGCTGGATTAGGCCTAGACCAAATTTTTCTGTCTCTTTCATTCGTTAGCCTCTGATTTGGGTAGGGTCGGCTCTCTCTTTAGAGACAGAACAGCCCTATACGTTTTAGTGTTCTCGCTTTGTGTAAAGAAACGTTACACCAAACTTGGCAAAACTACCGGCCAAATTCCATATTTCACAGGATGCATATCCAGTGCATCTTATTTTGACAATTAGGTCTAGGCTTAACTTTTTCGGTTCCACGTACCAACTTGACTGAAATAATCCGTTGAATGGTCCCTTTTTAGGAAATTATGGGTCAAAATCGACATCCATGATAAAAAATCTTGCAGAGGTAGTATAAAACTCTCGCTGAGCATGACGTCATCTAAATCTCATCCCTTCTAGTCTATGATTATGAAGGAAAAACTGTGCATTACACGTACGGGCTACGAGTTCGTAATGACATGCACAGTTTTTCCGTTATATGTTCGTTTTCCATTCGTGATAACAGATTTTTGAAATTGTACAGATTTTTTGAGATAGCGAAGTACTATATGGTCTCTGATTCTGATTCTGATCATTGACCGTTGTTCCACTGAGAGTATGTCTACGTCTTACTCAACTGAGCGCCTCTACACACAGAGACTGTAGTACATCGTACAGGTTATTGAGGGGAGTTTACACATGGCAGTTTTTATGTGATTGCCGTCTGTGTACGTGGGAAGGTTGACAATCAAAGGGACAGCAAAATTTTAGACTACAAATTAGTGCAAAAAGAAAATTCATCAGCAAAATAATTCCTGCAATATCACGATCTAAAAGTTTGATGTCGGCTCAGAATGTGATACAATTGAAGATGATATCATAAAAATGAATTCTGACCCAAACAAAAGTTTACTGTTGATTTATCTTCCCAAAACTAAGATAATTGCATAGATTGATAGGAAAAATATCATACAATCTTTTCTCAAAATTAGATTTTACAAAGTTCTTTTCTTTCAGGAGGCAGTGTTCACATTTCACAAGACCTCTCTCAAGATCACTTTTTTTAGCGAAAGAAAGAGTAAAAGATACCGGTACCTCCCTTTGATCAGGGATGCCAGTTTTCAGGCAACAGCCTGATTTCAGGCCATAGTTAAGGCTTTTTTGTGTACAGATACAAAATAGCTCATTCTAGATGATTTTCAGGCCCTCTGATCAATTCTAACTGGCATCCCTGTTTGGTTAATATGTAGACCTAATAAATCCTTTTATTTACCAGAGCTTCTTTTATTTTTGCAGAGATCTGTGAGCTTTCCAGAGCTCAGTCACTGGAGTGGGGGTGTAGAGACTGAGATGGAGCCTAACTACAGAGAGAGCTGCAGGGAGGGATACTTCACCGGCGAACGAGATGAATCAAGACAACATCCTCAGCATCAGATGACGCACTTTACCCACCAGCTTCCGTACCACTCCAATCTTGTCTCATCGCTGCAGCAACCAGCTATCGTCTTAGAGCAGTCAGATGTACAGAGGAATAGAGAAGACTTCACTAGTAACCATGCCAACCCCTCCATGCTGCGCTCCATATACTCGGGTAAGATGCAGTACTTATCTTTGTAATAATTGATATTATTTTTATTTTTATTTTATTTTTTTTTGTAATACAGTTTCATTTCCAAGGCAAGTTATCACATTTTCTGTAAAACCGTTGCTTGCAGGAAATTTTTGCCTATTTTGAGGGTGGTTCAGATTTTTCAAATTGTCAAACAATGCACCAGAAGACTATTGTATACACTTACTACTGGCCCAGTCTATAAAGAGTTGTGATTGATCTTAACTTATCTGCCATTGATATCAATCATAACTATGTACATAAGAGATAGGGGATTGAAAACTTGCGATTGATTAGACGACTTACGGTTGATTTGGAGCAATCGCAGTTCTTTATAAGACACAGGGTCCAGGTGTTATAATGAGATAACAGAATGCCAGAAAATCATCTCGTACTCATATCACTGTCTCTCTTTCAGGTTCAGGGTCTGTGCTACCTAGTCCTAACATCCTTCTGCAATCAACCAATCATTTCACGTCCAACAACCAGCATCCTCAACAGCAACAACATCAGCAACAACAACAACAGCAACTCAGTCGTCTCCAGCCAACATCTCGTTCCCATTTCAGTTCCCCTGGCCCAGCTCACCTAGCCGCCTCTGCTCTGACTGAGGAACCTGCTGTGGCTCACCATCCCAACCCTGCCCCTGGTGTGGAGAGAGCTGAGCCTTCCAGAGACTCCCTAGGTGCTACCATGAACGAACCCCTGGAGCTAATAACTCACAGGCAGCACCAGGCCATCAAGACAGCAGTCCTCAAAGACAAAGAAGTAGTGCCGCCGAAACTCCCCAACCCCATCCTCCATCCCAAGCATCTCAACCTGTTGCCTCGGCTTCAACCGAAGAGCCTCTTGCCACCACCTCGAAGCAGGGACAATGTGCGACGCAAGTCAAGCGCTCAGCTACCAGACTTTCTCTCTTTCAAGTATCTTCGTCATGAGAAGGAGAATATAGTTGGAGTTGTAGCCAAGGATAAAGTGGAGGAGGGGATAGAGTTTGGACCGTACAATGGGAACTTCCTGGATGAAGAGATAGGATCTACCAAGGAATCAACGTGGGAGGTAAGCAACAATCATACCAGGCCGACGCTTAGCGCTGGCATGGTACCGTCTGTAAAAATGTTTCCCAGCTCAATCACTGTCAAACTCACCACTCAGAAACTAACTTCAACCCTGGACCAAAGACTACCCAATTTTGTTTACATTGTGAGACATGAATAATTCTTATAAACATTGAAAAATGACCAGAAGTGGAAATATACTAACTACGGCCCATTTAATCACTCTCGCATGACGAGCTGTTGACCAGCCACACGTTTTGTATGTGTAAGAGCAATTTAATATTTTACAATAACATTTCATAGTGCAAGCTCTAATGAAAATTTCATATTTTTGTAATGAAATTTGAATTGTAAAGAAATTTCACTGAAATATAACTTTAAATAGTTTTCAGTATATCACCAATATTGAGCTACCGGTGTATTATGATTTCATGTTGATATTTTTCTTGCAGCTATGCACCGGAGGTAAGGTGTTCCTGTACGTGGATGGTAAGAAGAAAGATCAGCTCATCTGGATGTCTTACGTTCAATGCGCTCGCAATGAAGAAGAACAGAATCTAGAAGCATGTCAATACTACGGGCAGATCTACTTCAGAACTACAAAGTGCATTGAACCAGGAAGTGAGCTCAGAGTGTTCTACAGTAAGGAGTATTCAGAGTCTGTGGGCTTCAAGACTACACTCAAAGACTTGAATTATAATGAAGGTAAGAGTATCTAGAGTCTGGGCTTGAAGACTACACTCGAAAACTTAATTCATAAGGCGTAAATATTCATAATTGAATGACACATGCCCTTAAGACTAAAACAACAACAACAACAGTTCTAATGAAGGTAAGAGTATTCAGAGTCTGGGCTTCAAGACTACACTCATAACTCAAAATATTGAAGTAAGATTTTTGTAATACCTTTACTTCCGAGGTAGTAGAATCATTATATTTTGAGGTTGACTGATCATTAAAATTTGAGAATCATTGAAAGTTGAAAGGTCAAAAGGTTATAAATTTGTTTTTAAAAAAATGGCCCAAAATATTTCTTTATGCCGTGCTTAACTGTAAACCTCTGAAGCAGTTTTTAACATATTTGTTCTTATCATCATGAAATTCTAAAGAACAATTTGAGCCACAAAATTAACTGAAATTAGGAATAGGCATATTGGAGCTGCAGTCAAATTTGTTTCTTGTTCCATATTAAAGATAAAGACCAGTTATGGTCATGCGATTGCATTGTGAAAGAAACCTTGTGGAATTGATCAGAAAAGGTAGATCATCTAGCATATACATGTAAGTATTGGTGTGTACTGCAAGGTTCTGGAATCATCAAAATGATAAGAAATTTGGTCCAGTCTTGGTAAAGTTACAAGCACTGTACACAGAAAGATGTATATGGGACTAGGCACACGTGCGCGACACGTGTGTTATATCTTTCAGGTCCAAATAGATATAATAATTTACTAAATATATCAATTAGGAGGCGGTTTCTCAGCAAAATTTGCATGATCACGTACATGTATTAGTCAAAAACATATTTTTTCACATTATTGGTAATAAGAGCTTCCATTTAATTTTTTGAAAGTGGAGCGTTTCCAAAACTGGTCTTTACCTTTAAGTGGTCTAGTTGGGCACAATGACATTGGCTTTGGATGATATCTAGATGCACAAAAATCAAAAGTTATGATTGATTTGTGATTTTTTGTGTGTTTTTACTCTAAGGAGCTGAAAAGACGATCTTGTTATATTCAAATGTGAATGCTATTGCTTTTCTCATGATTCTTCATCATTGTTCATTTCTTTCTTGTTACAGAAGAAGGCAACTTTCAGTGCAACTCCTGTGAAAACCAATTCCCAACAGCGAAGCGAATGTTACGTCACATCAAGTTTGATCATGATCACGACGTTAGCGACGACCTTCGACCTGTCATTATCTGGAAGGTCAAATGTAAGACAGAATGTGCTAAGCCTGAAGACATACCATCATCGGGATATAGGAATATAGAGATGGAAAATATTAAGGGATCCTCACAGGTGTATTCGCCTAGGCAGTTCATCTGTACGGTATGCGGCAAGAAGTTTCCTACGGAAGGCCGGCTCGAAGCTCATGCCATGTTCCACGAATTCAGCGAAGAACACACGTGCCTCCTATGTGGAGAGAAGCAACGCAACTCCAAGGCACTCACCAAACATATGGCTAAACATGAGTCGTGCCCTCACAAGTGCCGCAAGTGTGACAAGTCCTATAAGACTCAGAAAAGCTTGCTTCGTCACAATCGGGAGGTCCATGTCCTGGGTAGGAAGAATGCTTGTCGGATATGTTCCATCGTGTTTGTGAAGGAGAGCGAGTGCTTGAAGCATGAACAAACCCACAAAGAATACAGCAAGGATGATGCCATGCCTGATACGGTGTGGAAGAAGAAGAAATACAGAAAAAGTCAGAAGATAGAACCTGCTCCAGGCATGTCAACAGAGGTCCCTGGAGAAGTAAAGACAATCAGTGAAAGCAATGTGGGTGCAAGGGCTGCTCCCAGGAAGAAGGCTTTCAAGGGAAAGCCGGCTCCAGAGGAACCCAAAGACATGCTTGGTAAGACACTTACGTACTACAACAGACCCAGACCTTACAAGTGTCGACACTGTCCCAGGCGGTACAGATCTCGAATGGCAGCCTATGAGCATGAGAAGGAGACACATGAAGGGAAGGGATCATTCAAGTGTAACCTGTGCCCTCGTGTCTTCATGAAAGAAAGCAACTTCTTTCAACATTACCAGTGTCACGAGCAGAACCGTCTCTACCGCTGCTCGCTCTGCCCACGAACCTTTGCGTCTGATAGCGCCCTCACCAATCACCAAGGGGAACATACAGGCCTCAAACCGTTCAAGTGTGAGATCTGTGGGAAGGGATTCCGTATCCGCAAATGGGTATGTGCTCATAAACGCAGGATGCATCAGACTCGAGAGCTGCGCTACTTCTGCTCCTTCTGCAACAAAGGATTCACGGACAAAGGACCGCTACAGAAGCATGAGCTTCGACACAAGGGCATCCGACCGTTCGTCTGCATGATCTGTGGAAAGGGGTTTGGAGTGAAGTACGTCCTGGAGGTTCACATGCAGAGCGTTCACTCGGGGGAGAAGAAGTATGATTGTGAAGTTTGCGGGAAGAAGTTTTCATTGAATCAGCATTACGTGACTCACATGTTTAAACACAGAGCACAAGGAGAAGACATTCCAGGAGCATCTAACGTCCAGGACACTGAGGAGGGTCAACAAGGTTAAAGGTCATCTCAAAGTCTAGGCAGTCTCATGTTATGGGAATGTTTTGCTCGTCCAAACATCAATCAATTTCATTAATGATAATTTAGATCAACCCTGTGGGAAACTCAGCTCATACACAATGGAGAAAACTTCTATATTGTAACATTCTGCACTTGTAAACAGTATTCAAATTCGTTAATTGTATGATATACATGTATGTATTTATTTATTCATGTAAATTGAGCTATATAGATATGTGTATAGTGCTTGCCAATTCAGAGAGACTCCATCATGTAGTTACTTTAAAGTTGCTCATGAGTGGGCATATAGAGGGCAGCACATGGACGTACGCACAGGAGCGTAATACCCATTGGCTCTGTGTTATGTAGTGATCGCTAAGTTGCCTACTTCATGAACGACTATATACCCACGCATGGACATCTTTAAGGTTATTATGTCCAGAAACATAATCGTTATTTCAGAGCTTTTGGAAGTTGGGTCTCAAATTTTTTATTATGTCATGATTGTAGTAAGAGTTTTACTATGTGTACTTGTGTTGAAGAGATTATGTTTAGAGTATGAGGGAGACGTTGCCTTTCTTGCCAAGTTTTCTTTTAACATCCTACAATTTATGTGCCAAATTGATAGTAATACAATAACACCTGTTTTAGCAACCACCTGTACTGATATAAACCACTTGCCTATAAAGACCACTCGCTCACTTCCCTCTCTCTGTCTATCTCCTCCTCTCACATTCATACACACACGCACACATACACACACACACGCACACACACGTACACGTTTCTGGTGTTTGTTTGTTTGATTGATTTTTTTTCTGCGTTCATATACAAATACAAGGTTATACTTTTTTACATAAGTATTACATAATAGCAAATCACGTTTTATGATATTATACAATAACCATAATACAAGCATACAAACAAGTGTAATGGATATTTGTACAGTATATATATATATTTTTCATTGAACTAAAGAGATAAATTTCAGAACGCAGGAGACCACCATCGTTAGCGGTTAGGTGTAAATTGAGGGTTGGATTTAACACATCAGTGTGTCATTACATGTTAGAGGACACACTTCCTTTCTAAAAATGAAATGTTGTGAGGACGATTTGAAAATGTACTGTATAACCAAGGACTTACTTGTACCTTTTCCTTGCAAATGGAGCACCTAAATAAACTAACATGTATATGAAAGCGCATCGATTTCAAACACTAATTTACAGGGGTTCTCGAACCGAGGACATCCTAGTTTTGCGAGTGGTCTCCTAAGAGAAGGTACAGTACTTATGAGTGTCCTCTATACCCACGCATCTGCCCCGCCCCCCACACATACGTTCTCCTTTTTTTTTATCTGTCTTGTGCAAAGAGATGAAACAAAAAACATTAACATGTACCAGATTTAAGGGATATTTTATTGAAGAAAATACAAAGTCATGTATGTGCGATTCCATTCTTTGCTCGAAGTAAAACTGTACTTTAACCTTTAACCCTTTAGACAGAATAATTTTGCAAAATTCATCAGTGTATTTGTATGTTTTTTAAAATTTCTATTGGAATGTGTTAATTGTGCAAGTGACAGTCTTGTATTGCGTACACTAGATTTCATGCATTGTGTATTCAGAGCAAATTTCTAGACTTAGTAAATTTGAGTGATTTTGATGTCAGTGTATGGTTAAAGATAAAGACCAGTTATGGTCATGCGATTGCATTGTGAAAGAAATTTGGCCCAGTCTTGGTAAAGTTACAAGCACTGTCCACAAAAAGATGTACATGTATATGGGACTACGCGACACGTGCGAGACACATGCGTTATATCTATCAGGTCCAAATAGATATAATAATGTAACTAACAAATATATCAATTAGTAGGCAGTTTCTCGGCAAAATTTGTATCATCACGTATTAGTCAAAACATATTCTTTCACATGATTGGTAATAAGAGCTTTCATTTTATATTTTGAGAGGGGGGCGTTTCCAAAACTGGTCTTTACCTTTTATCTCACACTTGTTTCCATGCAGTACAAATGTGAATCTTTTATCATGTGGAATTTATAAATTGGAGTACGTGTATACCTGTATGTAGCCAGCAAAATCATGACACAGTCATTGGAAATGCAAATAGTTAATCACGTTTATTACAAGCAAATTAGTAAATGTGGCAGATTTGTATTTCAGATATATGTAGTGGAAAATCTAGAAATATGACTTCAAAATGATCATCTGTACTAGCATCATCATTGTCATATGTATGTAGGCCAAATGGAAAAATGATTTGATGAGGTACCTTTGAAAGATTTTCCTGCAAGATGTGTTTAGCATAAGGTCTTCAGACATGATAGATATGAATGTTATTTGTACCTGGAATGAGTTCACTTTTTTTGTTTGAATAATAATTATTAACAAATGGACAATAAAATGTGAAACTTATTGTATCTCCTCTAAACATTAATTTCTAATTGTATATTCAGTTCTGTGAGTTGTGACCTAGCTTTTTTGTTGTGGCTAGTAATATTGTTGGCCCTGTTTAGAAGCCTTAATGAATAATTTGCATGGTAACAAAAAAGGTGTGGGTGATGAAGGCATTTTCTAATCCTCCCCCCCCCCCCCAAAAAAAAAAAAAATAAATAAAATAAAAATAAAATAATAATAATAAATAAATAAATAAAATAAAAATAAATAAAAATTAAAAAAAAAAAAAAAAAAAAATCAAAGATCATGCCTGTAAGAAGTGTAACAGAACAATATAAAGACCCTGCATATTATTTCAAATCTTCTGTTTTAGGAGGAATATAATAACGATAAAGACGGTGCTTATAAAGCGCTTCCCACCGAAGTCTCTATAAGTGCAAAATATCTCAAAATACTGTACATGTAACAATTAACACTCTACAAAATAAATACCTGCTGTATGTGTTTGTGGTACGCGAGAGGAAGAGAGCAAAGAGACAAGAGAGAAATGGAGAGAAACTAAGAGAGAAGGAGATGAATGAGAATATAAAGTGAGACAGAGAGAGAGAAATGGAGAGAAACTAAGAGAGAAGGAGATTAATGAGAATATAAAGTGAGACAGAGAGAGAGAAATGGAGAGAAACTAAGAGAGAAGGAGATGAACGAGAATATAAAGTGAGACAGAGAGAGAGAAATGGAGAGAAACTAAGAGAGAAGGAGATGAACGAGAATATAAAGTGAGACAGAGAGAGAGAAATGGAGAGAAACTAAGAGAGAAGGAGATGAACGAGAATATAAAGTGAGACAGAGAGAGAGAAATGGAGAGAAACTAAGAGAGAAGGAGATGAACGAGAATATAAAGTGAGACAGAGAGAGAGAAATGGAGAGAAACTAAGAGAGAAGGAGATGAACGAGAATATAAAGTGAGACACAGAGAGAGAAATGAAGAGAAACTAAGAGAGAAGGAGATGAACGAGAATATAAAGTGAGACAGAGAGAGAGAAATGGAGAGAAACTAAGAGAGAAGGAGATGAATGAGAATATAAAGTGAGACAGAGAGAGAGAAATGGAGAGAAACTAAGAGAGAAGGAGATGAATGAGAATATAAAGTGAGACAGAGAGAGAGAAATGGAGAGAAACTAAGAGAGAAGGAGATGAATGAGAATATAAAGTGAGACAGAGAGAGAGAAATGGAGAGAAACTAAGAGAGAAGGAGATGAACGAGAATATAAAGTGAGACAGAGAGAGAGAAATGGAGAGAAACTAAGAGAGAAGGAGATGAACGAGAATATAAAGTGAGACAGAGAGAGAGAAATGAAGAGAAACTAAGAGAGAAGGAGATGAACGAGAATATAAAGTGAGACAGAGAGAGAGAAATGGAGAGAAACTAAGAGAGAAGGAGATGAACGAGAATATAAAGTGAGACAGAGAGAGAGAAATGGAGAGAAACTAAGAGAGAAGGAGATGAACGAGAATATAAAGTGAGACAGAGAGAGAGAAATGGAGAGAAACTAAGAGAGGAGATGAACGAGAATATAAAGTGAGACAGAGAGAGAGAGAAATGGAGAGAAACTAAGAGAGAAGGAGATGAATGAGAATATAAAGTGAGACAGAGAGAGAGAAATGGAGAGAAACTAAGAGAGAAGGAGATGAACGAGAATATAAAGTGAGACAGAGAGAGAGAAATGGAGAGAAACTAAGAGAGAAGGAGATGAACGAGAATATAAAGTGAGACAGAGAGAGAGAAATGGAGAGAAACTAAGAGAGAAGGAGATGAACGAGAATATAAAGTGAGACAGAGAGAGAGAAATGGAGAGAAACTAAGAGAGAAGGAGATGAACGAGAATATAAAGTGAGACAGAGAGAGAGAAATGGAGAGAAACTAAGAGAGAAGGAGATGAATGAGAATATAAAGTGAGACAGAGAGAGAGAAATGGAGAGAAACTAAGAGAGAAGGAGATGAATGAGAATATAAAGTGAGACAGAGAGAGAGAAATGGAGAGAAACTAAGAGAGAAGGAGATGAATGAGAATATAAAGTGAGACAGAGAGAGAGAAATGGAGAGAAACTAAGAGAGAAGGAGATGAATGAGAATATAAAGTGAGACAGAGAGAGAGAAATGGAGAGAAACTAAGAGAGAAGGAGATGAATGAGAATATAAAGTGAGACAGAGAGAGAGAAATGGAGAGAAACTAAGAGAGAAGGAGATGAACGAGAATATAAAGTGAGACAGAGAGAGAGAAATGGAGAGAAACTAAGAGAGAAGGAGATGAACGAGAATATAAAGTGAGACAGAGAGAGAGAAATGAAGAGAAACTAAGAGAGAAGGAGATGAACGAGAATATAAAGTGAGACAGAGAGAGAGAAATGGAGAGAAACTAAGAGAGAAGGAGATGAACGAGAATATAAAGTGAGACAGAGAGAGAGAAATGGAGAGAAACTAAGAGAGAAGGAGATGAACGAGAATATAAAGTGAGACAGAGAGAGAGAAATGGAGAGAAACTAAGAGAGAAGGAGATGAACGAGAATATAAAGTGAGACAGAGAGAGAGAAATGGAGAGAAACTAAGAGAGAAGGAGATGAACGAGAATATAAAGTGAGACAGAGAGAGAGAAATGGAGAGAAACTAAGAGAGAAGGAGATGAACGAGAATATAAAGTGAGACAGAGAGAGAGAAATGGAGAGAAACTAAGAGAGAAGGAGATGAACGAGAATATAAAGTGAGACACAGAGAGAGAAATGAAGAGAAACTAAGAGAGAAGGAGATGAACGAGAATATAAAGTGAGACAGAGAGAGAGAAATGGAGAGAAACTAAGAGAGAAGGAGACGAATGAGAATATAAAGTGAGACAGAGAGAGAGAAATGGAGAGAAACTAAGAGAGAAGGAGATGAACGAGAATATAAAGTGAGACAGAGAGAGAGAAATGGAGAGAAACTAAGAGAGAAGGAGATGAACGAGAATATAAAGTGAGACAGAGAGAGAGAAATGGAGAGAAACTAAGAGAGAAGGAGATGAACGAGAATATAAAGTGAGACAGAGAGAGAGAAATGGAGAGAAACTAAGAGAGAAGGAGATGAACGAGAATATAAAGTGAGACACAGAGAGAGAAATGAAGAGAAACTAAGAGAGAAGGAGATGAACGAGAATATAAAGTGAGACAGAGAGAGAGAAATGGAGAGAAACTAAGAGAGAAGGAGACGAATGAGAATATAAAGTGAGACAGAGAGAGAGAAATGGAGAGAAACTAAGAGAGAAGGAGATGAATGAGAATATAAAGTGAGACAGAGAGAGAGAAATGGAGAGAAACTAAGAGAGAAGGAGATGAACGAGAATATAAAGTGAGACAGAGAGAGAGAAATGGAGAGAAACTAAGAGAGAAGGAGACGAATGAGAATATAAAGTGAGACAGAGAGAGAGAAATGGAGAGAAACTAAGAGAGAAGGAGATGAATGAGAATATAAAGTGAGACAGAGAGAGAGAAATGGAGAGAAACTAAGAGAGAAGGAGATGAATGAGAATATAAAGTGAGACAGAGAGAGAGAAATGGAGAGAAACTAAGAGAGAAGGAGATGAATGAGAATATAAAGTGAGACAGAGAGAGAGAAATGGAGAGAAACTAAGAGAGAAGGAGATGAACGAGAATATAAAGTGAGACAGAGAGAGAGAAATGGAGAGAAACTAAGAGAGAAGGAGATGAACGAGAATATAAAGTGAGACAGAGAGAGAGAAATGGAGAGAAACTAAGAGAGGAGATGAACGAGAATATAAAGTGAGACAGAGAGAGAGAAATGGAGAGAAACTAAGAGAGAAGGAGATGAACGAGAATATAAAGTGAGACAGAGAGAGAGAAATGGAGAGAAACTAAGAGAGAAGGAGATGAATGAGAATATAAAGTGAGACAGAGAGAGAGAAATGGAGAGAAACTAAGAGAGAAGGAGATGAATGAGAATATAAAGTGAGACAGAGAGAGAGAAATGGAGAGAAACTAAGAGAGAAGGAGATGAATGAGAATATAAAGTGAGACAGAGAGAGAGAAATGGAGAGAAACTAAGAGAGAAGGAGATGAATGAGAATATAAAGTGAGACAGAGAGAGAGAAATGGAGAGAAACTAAGAGAGAAGGAGATGAATGAGAATATAAAGTGAGACAGAGAGAGAGAAATGGAGAGAAACTAAGAGAGAAGGAGATGAATGAGAATATAAAGTGAGACAGAGAGAGAGAAATGGAGAGAAACTAAGAGAGAAGGAGATGAATGAGAATATAAAGTGAGACAGAGAGAGAGAAATGGAGAGAAACTAAGAGAGAAGGAGATGAACGAGAATATAAAGTGAGACAGAGAGAGAGAAATGGAGAGAAACTAAGAGAGAAGGAGATGAACGAGAATATAAAGTGAGACAGAGAGAGAGAAATGGAGAGAAACTAAGAGAGGAGATGAACGAGAATATAAAGTGAGACAGAGAGAGAGAAATGGAGAGAAACTAAGAGAGAAGGAGATGAACGAGAATATAAAGTGAGACAGAGAGAGAGAAATGGAGAGAAACTAAGAGAGAAGGAGATGAATGAGAATATAAAGTGAGACAGAGAGAGAGAAATGGAGAGAAACTAAGAGAGAAGGAGATGAACGAGAATATAAAGTGAGACAGAGAGAGAGAAATGGAGAGAAACTAAGAGAGAAGGAGATGAACGAGAATATAAAGTGAGACAGAGAGAGAGAAATGGAGAGAAACTAAGAGAGAAGGAGATGAACGAGAATATAAAGTGAGACAGAGAGAGAGAAATGGAGAGAAACTAAGAGAGAAGGAGATGAACGAGAATATAAAGTGAGACAGAGAGAGAGAAATGGAGAGAAACTAAGAGAGAAGGAGATGAATGAGAATATAAAGTGAGACAGAGAGAGAGAAATGGAGAGAAACTAAGAGAGAAGGAGATGAATGAGAATATAAAGTGAGACAGAGAGAGAGAAATGGAGAGAAACTAAGAGAGAAGGAGATGAATGAGAATATAAAGTGAGACAGAGAGAGAGAAATGGAGAGAAACTAAGAGAGAAGGAGATGAATGAGAATATAAAGTGAGACAGAGAGAGAGAAATGGAGAGAAACTAAGAGAGAAGGAGATGAATGAGAATATAAAGTGAGACAGAGAGAGAGAAATGGAGAGAAACTAAGAGAGAAGGAGATGAACGAGAATATAAAGTGAGACAGAGAGAGAGAAATGGAGAGAAACTAAGAGAGAAGGAGATGAACGAGAATATAAAGTGAGACAGAGAGAGAGAAATGGAGAGAAACTAAGAGAGAAGGAGATGAACGAGAATATAAAGTGAGACAGAGAGAGAGAAATGGAGAGAAACTAAGAGAGAAGGAGATGAACGAGAATATAAAGTGAGACAGAGAGAGAGAAATGGAGAGAAACTAAGAGAGAAGGAGATGAACGAGAATATAAAGTGAGACAGAGAGAGAGAAATGGAGAGAAACTAAGAGAGAAGGAGATGAATGAGAATATAAAGTGAGACAGAGAGAGAGAAATGGAGAGAAACTAAGAGAGAAGGAGATGAACGAGAATATAAAGTGAGACAGAGAGAGAGAAATGGAGAGAAACTAAGAGAGAAGGAGATGAACGAGAATATAAAGTGAGACAGAGAGAGAGAAATGGAGAGAAACTAAGAGAGAAGGAGATGAATGAGAATATAAAGTGAGACAGAGAGAGAGAAATGGAGAGAAACTAAGAGAGAAGGAGATGAATGAGAATATAAAGTGAGACAGAGAGAGAGAAATGGAGAGAAACTAAGAGAGAAGGAGATGAACGAGAATATAAAGTGAGACAGAGAGAGAGAAATGGAGAGAAACTAAGAGAGAAGGAGATGAACGAGAATATAAAGTGAGACAGAGAGAGAGAAATGGAGAGAAACTAAGAGAGAAGGAGATGAACGAGAATATAAAGTGAGACAGAGAGAGAGAAATGGAGAGAAACTAAGAGAGAAGGAGATGAATGAGAATATAAAGTGAGACAGAGAGAGAGAAATGGAGAGAAACTAAGAGAGAAGGAGATGAATGAGAATATAAAGTGAGACAGAGAGAGAGAAATGGAGAGAAACTAAGAGAGAAGGAGATGAACGAGAATATAAAGTGAGACAGAGAGAGAGAAATGGAGAGAAACTAAGAGAGAAGGAGATGAATGAGAATATAAAGTGAGACAGAGAGAGAGAAATGGAGAGAAACTAAGAGAGAAGGAGATGAATGAGAATATAAAGTGAGACAGAGAGAGAGAAATGGAGAGAAACTAAGAGAGAAGGAGATGAACGAGAATATAAAGTGAGACAGAGAGAGAGAAATGGAGAGAAACTAAGAGAGAAGGAGATGAACGAGAATATAAAGTGAGACAGAGAGAGAGAAATGGAGAGAAACTAAGAGAGAAGGAGATGAACGAGAATATAAAGTGAGACAGAGAGAGAGAAATGGAGAGAAACTAAGAGAGAAGGAGATGAACGAGAATATAAAGTGAGACAGAGAGAGAGAAATGGAGAGAAACTAAGAGAGAAGGAGATGAACGAGAATATAAAGTGAGACAGAGAGAGAGAAATGGAGAGAAACTAAGAGAGAAGGAGATGAACGAGAATATAAAGTGAGACAGAGAGAGAGAAATGGAGAGAAACTAAGAGAGAAGGAGATGAACGAGAATATAAAGTGAGACAGAGAGAGAGAAATGGAGAGAAACTAAGAGAGAAGGAGATGAACGAGAATATAAAGTGAGACAGAGAGAGAGAAATGGAGAGAAACTAAGAGAGAAGGAGATGAACGAGAATATAAAGTGAGACAGAGAGAGAGAAATGGAGAGAAACTAAGAGAGAAGGAGATGAACGAGAATATAAAGTGAGACAGAGAGAGAGAAATGGAGAGAAACTAAGAGAGAAGGAGATGAATGAGAATATAAAGTGAGACAGAGAGAGAGAAATGGAGAGAAACTAAGAGAGAAGGAGATGAACGAGAATATAAAGTGAGACAGAGAGAGAGAAATGGAGAGAAACTAAGAGAGAAGGAGATGAACGAGAATATAAAGTGAGACAGAGAGAGAGAAATGGAGAGAAACTAAGAGAGAAGGAGATGAACGAGAATATAAAGTGAGACAGAGAGAGAGAAATGGAGAGAAACTAAGAGAGAAGGAGATGAACGAGAATATAAAGTGAGACAGAGAGAGAGAAATGGAGAGAAACTAAGAGAGAAGGAGATGAATGAGAATATAAAGTGAGACAGAGAGAGAGAAATGGAGAGAAACTAAGAGAGAAGGAGATGAACGAGAATATAAAGTGAGACAGAGAGAGAGAAATGGAGAGAAACTAAGAGAGAAGGAGATGAACGAGAATATAAAGTGAGACAGAGAGAGAGAAATGGAGAGAAACTAAGAGAGAAGGAGATGAACGAGAATATAAAGTGAGACAGAGAGAGAGAAATGGAGAGAAACTAAGAGAGAAGGAGATGAACGAGAATATAAAGTGAGACAGAGAGAGAGAAATGGAGAGAAACTAAGAGAGAAGGAGATGAACGAGAATATAAAGTGAGACAGAGAGAGAGAAATGGAGAGAAACTAAGAGAGAAGGAGATGAACGAGAATATAAAGTGAGACAGAGAGAGAGAAATGGAGAGAAACTAAGAGAGAAGGAGATGAATGAGAATATAAAGTGAGACAGAGAGAGAGAAATGGAGAGAAACTGAGACACGGAGACGGAGAAAGATGTGGAGGGGGGGGGGGGGGGTAAAGGCCTACTAACTTCTGTTTTTGTATACAGGACAATGTATCTCCGACGAATGGAGACCATCTTAAAAAGAATATATTACACAATGTACTATATAGCGGAAGAACAGGTTGAACTGGGACCCGTGAGAAATGAAACACGTACCTCATCTTACTGAAAAGTTAATACAGTTCATACATTTGATTTAAACCTTCAAAATGTCTTACATGTAAAAAAAAAATGAATTAAACAGCAATACATTTAGAATTAATAATGAATCACAAAAAAACTTGATTTACTCAAAATGTGGGCGTTGCCTATATTTCAATTTGTTTCTGCACCATAAATATGTCCATTAAATCATTAATTCGTGATTACACAGATAAAATATGTAGTCAAGTTACAGCCAGGAAAGAAATGTTGAACAAATATTGCAACGAAAAGTCATTTTATGGCATTTCAAACATTGTCAAATAAATTGATATCATTTTACATGACAGTTGACACGCAAGTCCCAATTTGCAGCGGGAGAGCGCCATCTCATGACGTGAAACATATAGTTTACTGGTTCTTTTTTTTTTTACGACTTGAGGTCACTGGAAATTGCTCGATTATGGAAGAAATTGGCATTGTTGTTACGCCTAAGAGGGTATGTATAGGAATGAGATGTTATTTAGATATGTTATTAAGATATTAGTTTCATTAAAAAATTCAAGTCGACGGATTAAATGTCGTTTTAGGAGCAAAATATATGAACGAACATTTGTATGACAAAGCAATATTTCACTTTACTTCAGTCCCATGCGTTTATATTTATGATGGGGGTGCAGGTGATACTAGCACTCTGGTTTTTGCTGGAACTTGGATTTAAGTTCTTGTCTTGTCATGTCTTAAGGGTCTATACTAGCTAGGTGATGGTGTGAAGTATGATATTGATATTACCTAGCCTGAATTGGCACCCATAACCTGTGTGAAGAGGCAACTTGGGAGTTCACTTTCATGACTTTGACTCATTGAGTTTGAAATTGGTCAAGAGTTGAACAAAAATTTGAAAAATTCACTTGTTTTTACCACGTATCCTGAGCGCGGAGTAATCGGGCGCTGGTCCGAGAATAAGCATCGCCCACAAAAACAAGGATCGTCTCTGTAAATTAACACGGACAGATGTGTCCGCCAAAATAAGGATTGGACACATTTTGGCATAGACCTAGACCTAGTTTCATAATTCTGAATCTGATCTGCACGTTGGCGATACGAAAAAGAGAATCCGCGATGAATTTCGTGATGCATTTTACATTGAATTTTTTGCTGACGTGTCTGTCTGCGTTTACGTAGACGATGTGGATGATCCTTATTCTCGGACCAGTAAATTTGACTTTGGCCACATTAAAAAATATCAAGTCTCTTCAAACTCTAAGATTTATTAGATGGAAAAATTAAAGGTTCCAGATCAAGAGGGAAACCAAGCAGTAACTCAGAGTAGAATTACACAGTAACTATGAGTCAAGTATGTGTGTACTATAATGGCAGAAAACAGAGATGTGTGGAAGATATTTACAATCAATTGGAGAAGATACCAGGATAGATACTGTAGACGGAATAAATTACGGGTTTGATTTATGGAAGTATTTTGGCCAGCATCTAATTATGAATTGAACTATTGTTTTTATGATTTCTTTTAATGTGTAGGAGGTAGCTTCTCCCAGTGAATCATCGAGACCAACATCGACGGCTGCGTCTGGACTAGAGAACATTGCTACAGATGATCTCTACTCAAGATACAAGGTATGATCTCTCCCTCAACAAACAGGGCATTTTTTTAATTTTAATTTTTTATAAATGTAATGCTTCCTTGGAGAAATTTCAATAGTTTAAACATATTTGTGGCTTACACCGAGTAAATAAGATCGATTGATTGATCTGTAATTCAAAAACAAGTCAGAAAAATCTTGGAACCATCGGGATTTGAACCTGCCATCTACTGCTTGCCGGGCAGCAACTCTACCACCAGGCCATCACTGGTCCATGTCACAGTCACGATGAATTAGAAACAAATACCCAATCTCTCCTGATTCATTCTGACTTATTAATATTCATTAGTCCGCCATAGGACAATAACTTTTATAAATGTAATGCTTCCTGGGAGAAATTTCAATAGTTTAAACATATTTGTGGCTTACACCCGGGCAGTGTTTCACAAAAACGTTTCAAGTACAAGTTTGCCAACAACCCATTAAAAATAGACCAGTTCACGGTTAGCACCTTACTGCAATGACCCCGAATATCCACAGATCTTCAAAATATGAAGAAGTCCCACTTTGTACATTTTGAAATAATCACTCCTACAGCGATGGAGGTGCTATATAAATAGCCTTTGTTCCCCCTTTTCAAAGAATACTTCCACCTGTGTACCATGAAGTGCACTGAATGTGCATGAATGAATAATGTTACATAACTTTCATGAGCATGTATCCAGTATTTCGTCTCCATGTATTTTAAAATTTGTTCTGCAATGACCTTTATCTGCTCATGCTCAGACTGCAACCGTGAACTGGCTTATTGTGTATTATTGAAATTCAACACACGATTCAGTGGGATATCAATGAACTTGTTCTGTTTTGTGAAACGACACCCTGGGTTTTTACCACTCATGAGACTCAAAACTTTGATACTCACAACTTTACTTACGCTCTAGTTAACCCTTTGCTTACGGAAACCTGGTGGTCTCTGTGTTAAAGCCTATGGGACCTATACAATTCAGTAGTCAACGGGTTAAAAAAGAACATTAAAATCATTGGAAGCAGGATATAAATTATTAACATTTGTAGTATTACCTGATGCAGGCATATCTCAATTTTATACTCTTAATAATTTTCATGTTTCTATGTGGAAAATGAAATTGTTTTCCTCTCTTCATGTACAACATTGGTTATAAAATATGGCCAAGAAGAAATAGGGTGAAAATGTTCAAGTATTCTAGTGATTAAATAGAAGAGAATAGTGGATGTTGGCTTTAATTTTCTAAAAGATAACTTATTTAACATATTTCAGATTTAAAACTCAATGTCAAGTCTCTTCAAACTCTTAGTTACACCCTCATGGTTATTTTTGCAGTTTGGTTTTTAAGGTTAGAGTTTGGAATTGAGGAAATCGATTGCAGACCCATTGTCATCAGAGGGTGTGTCATTAAACTTAATATACCAAAGGTAATACCAAAGGTCTACTAAAAGTGTTGTTTCTCTGTGATTGGTTTACTTTGAATGCAGAAATTACAGCAGCAGCTTGAGTTCTTAGAAGTACAGGAGGAGTACATCAAGGATGAACAAAGAAATCTCAAGAAAGAATTCCTTCATGCCCAGGAAGAGGTCAAGCGTATTCAGAGTGTTCCTCTGGTCATCGGTCAGTTCTTAGAGGCGGTTGACCAGCACACTGGCATTGTAGGATCAACTACAGGTGAGTGACCAATGTCATTAGAAACTCACTTATTGGTCAGTTCTACTATTAGAGTAGAGAGAGTTCATAGGTCAAATTTATAGAGCACCAAAGTACTTTCCTCCTAGATGGAGATCGCATGTGGGAGGTGAATATAGCTCTGTGAATATTCCTGTAAGCGTGTATGCATGCGTATGTCCTAATATTATATCTCTGTCCCAAATAAATATCTGTATACCCCATGGTTGGTTGGTTGGTTGGTTCCTTCCTCAAGGTCCAAACAGCCTAAGATTTTCCCTTCCGAGACCAAGACCAAGATCTCTAGAAACCAGGACTAAGACCAAGACGTTGGTATTTCCGTTTGATTGCATTGCAGAAGTGACCTATTGGTATTTCATATTATTATGTGAATGTTCTTTGGAAATTTGTATTGTAATTCATGTTCATTTCAGTTTTTAACTGCCAGACACGAAGATCTGAATAAAATCCATTTATCTATCTTATCTATATATCTAAGATCTTGTGAAAATGGGTCTCGAGACCTACAACGTATTTGGTAGATGTTATATATTCATGGTACTCTTAGTAATAGGCCTACACTCATCCAAACCCAAATCATACATGAATGTAACATTCTTTTTCATCACATGTAGGATCTAACTCGTACGTACGTATCCTGAGCACCATCGATCGTGAGCTCCTGAAACCAAGCGCCAGCGTCGCCCTTCACAAGCACAGCAATGCACTGGTTGATGTACTACCTCCAGAAGCTGATAGTAGTATCATGATGCTGGGTGCAGGTTAGTCTGTTTAGAAGCCCTCAATAACCTGTCATGAGTAACGTTAGCTGACAGCCCATTAGAATGCTCAATTTAAATTGAACGTGCATTTTCTTAAGATGTCTGTGAAATTATACTTACTATGGTTTCGTGGAATGCTGCCCTGGTAACTTACTATCTGATTCACCTGCTTTGCATAATGGAATCTCTATAGATGGAATCAACTTTGCATATTGTATGTTACCGGTTGCTATGTTCGACAAGGCTTTGGACAACTTTTGAGTTGTCAAAGAGAAGCTTTTGTTGAAGAAGCATGTATGAAATTAATAAACGGCATATTCGTAAAACCTTACTAAGCCTAGTTGTCAACTATCTGTGTACTACAGCCTTTATAATTGGTTGACATTCCTGAACAATCTGATGAACAGAGATACAGAGCAGATGCAAATAATTATGCATGAAATCAAGGGTACCATAAAAGACCAAGGTTGTCTTGTCAAGACAGTCTTTTTATGTAGTAAAGTAGAAAGTGATTTAATGCATGATGAAAGGATATTTACACACTTTGGTTATGTGCAAAACAGAAATGTTAAAAAATATGAAATGAAACTAGGAACAATATATATAAGATAAAGATCATCAACCTTGGACAAAGTTTGGAAACAAACATTAACAATTTGAGAGTGAAAAATCAGAAGAAATTTCTTAAATTTCCTCTTAAAACTGTTATTATTAATGTTATTTTTTAGATGAGAAGCCTGACGTGGTGTATTCAGACATCGGTGGTATGGACATGCAGAAGCAAGAGATCCGTGAAGCTGTAGAGCTCCCTCTCACGCACTTTGATCTCTATCAGCAGATTGGTATCGACCCACCGAGGGGTGTGCTCATGTTTGGACCCCCGGGATGCGGGAAAACCATGTTAGCTAAGGCTGTAGCTCATCATACAACAGGTGAGCCATTACATAACCAGGTAAAACCATGTTGGCTAAGGCTGTAGCTCATCATACAACAGGTGAGTCATTAGATAACCAGGTAAAACCATGTTAGCTTAGGCTGTAGCTCATCATACAACAGGTGAGTCATTAGATAACCAGGTAAAACCATGTTGGCTAAGGCTGTAGCTCATCATACAACAGGTGAGCCATTACATAACCAGGTAAAACCTTGTTAGCTAAGGCTGTAGCTCATCATACAACAGGTGAGCCATTACATAACCAGGTAAAACCATGTTGGCTAAGGCTGTAGCTCATCATACAACAGGTGAGCCATTACATAACCAGGTAAAACCATGTTGGCTAAGGCTGTAGCTCATCATACAACAGGTGAGTCATTAGATAACCAGGTAAAACCATGTTAGCTTAGGCTGTAGCTCATCATACAACAGGTGAGTCATTAGATAACCAGGTAAAACCTTGTTGGCTAAGGCTGTAGCTCATCATACAACAGGTGAGTCATTAGATAACCAGGTAAAACCATGTTAGCTAAGGCTGTAGCTCATCATACAACAGGTGAGACATTATATAATCAGGTAAAACCATGTTAGCTAAGGCTGTAGCTCATCATACAACAGGTGAGACATTATATAACCAGGTAAAACCATGTTAGCTAAGGCTGTGGCTCATCATACAACAGGTGAGTCATTAGATAACCAGGTAAAACCATGTTAGCTAAGGCTGTAGCTCATCATACAACAGGTGAGACATTATATAACCAGGTAAAACCATGTTAGCTAAGGCTGTGGCTCATCATACAACAGGTGAGACATTAGATAACCAGGGTCGTCGAGAAAAATATCTTAAATTTGTCTCTCCTAAGCGCCTTCTCCCTTGGGGCACTACTCAAAGTATATTATCTGTATCATATTATTATAGGTCCTCCAAAATAAAAGACCCTCCTCAGTAATACATTTTTGAAAAATTTACATTTCTAGTAATGTTTTAAAACAAATGGGAGAATTGTCTGCAACTACATCACAGTCTTCACAGTGACGTTGCCGATTCAGCTAAGGCCTAAAAAAAAAAATTGATGACTTGGCGTAACGGGTCACTGAAAATTAGGGTAGGTAGGGCGATTTTTTGTTGTTGTTGTTGTTGTTGTTGTTGTTGTTGTTGCTTATATTTGCATACATGAAATTAGCCATTCATACACATACATACATACAGTGGCGTAGGTAGGTCCTCAGACCTTGGGGATGATCTGATGAGAGGGGTAGACCACAATATGTTCAAATAACTCCACGCACACACACACACACACATATATGGACACACACACTGTGTGAGCAAAGTGAGCAAGAAATTGTTGAAATCTTGATCACCTTGGGACCTGGGGGATGCATACATACACCTGCCCCCCCCCCCCCTGCATACATACATGTACATGTACATACACCCTCATGCACATAAAATGCAAACATACGAACGCATAGTGACACTGTTTCAGACAACAGCAAATCAGAAAACGGACCACAGTTTTCCTTAAATGGCTTGATGTTCTTAACCACAAAATTATCAGCGGCCAGATCTTGAACGATTTCTCCAATTGTTGCTTCAATGTCCACCTTCCGAAGAACGCTGAATAAAACGTGAGCACCAAATTTACCCGTGAACTGAATGCCATAGGACGCCATGTTGGGGATACAATCGCCTAGCGGTACTACGGCGTACCTGCCCGCTGCACTCGGCGCGCGAGCTGGCCCAAACACGGCGCGGCAAAGTTCAGAACGAAAGCAACAAACATCCGGGTTTTCCCCACTGCGATATCGATATTTACGCAATCGCAATCGGATCAAAAAAAATAAAAAAGCGTAGGGTCGGCGATAAAAATAGGGTCGGGCGGGTTACGCCAAGTCATCAATTTTTTTTTTTAGGCCTAATTTAAGATTCCTTTACTTTGTGTGATTTTAAATATGAAAAATTAACAGCTTTCTTAATGTTTGTTCAATTTTGTTCAAACTTACACCAATCTATTTTTTCTGCTTTCCGTCGGAGCAATTTTCTTTAAAGATTGAATTTACAGTCAAACATGCCTTCACACCCACCTGTATAGAAAGACCTCTTGTCTACAAAGACAACCTGTCTACAGACACCACATGTTTTGTTTCCCTTGAAAATGGTTTCTCATCGAAACATGTACTAAAGGAACCTGTACATGAAGACCACCTGCCTATAAAGACCACTTTTCTTGTTTCCTTTGGGTGGTCTTTATAGACAGGTTTCTGAGTTATAGGTTTAATTTTTGATAGGTAATTTACAATAAATAAGAACATGGCCACTATATTTGGCTCAACTTTTTGACTTCTATTCCCTTATCTTTCAGCTGCTTTCATTCGAGTTGTTGGTTCAGAGTTTGTTCAGAAGTATCTAGGAGAAGGTCCACGTATGGTGAGGGATGTGTTCAGACTGGCTAAAGAGAATGCTCCTGCAATCATCTTCATCGATGAGATCGATGCCATCGCTACAAAGAGATTTGACGCCCAGACAGGAGGTGAGGTCCAAGCTTCAACTGAGTAAAAAAAAAAAAGATGTATTGGAATAACCCAGCCAATCCTAAAAACTTTGTAATTGTAAATATTATTTGGTAGCGAGATAATTTTTTATTTTTTTGTTTACAGTAGCAAAAGTTGTAAACCAGTGTCACTACTAACTTTTTTTTAGTCAATGTGGGCTTTTTTTTTTTTTTTTTCGATTCGTGGGTGTTCCGTTTTGTGTACAAAGCAATAGGAGTAAGAATATAGTTCAGGTATCCCATTTGCCTGCAGGAAAAAAAAGGACCTACCGATTTTGCCAATAGTACATACAGCTTACCAAAAGTCATAATCTTCTTATTTTTCGTCCAATTTCAATAAAACTTTCACAAGTCTGCTTCTCTGATATTTCTGCTTCATTTATAGCGGGCCTAATACGTTGTTTACTACTGATGTCGGATTTTCCTTTAAATTTTCCTTTAACGGTCACTCACTCAAGACTGTTGTATATTTGTTATGTTTCAGCTGATCGAGAGGTACAGAGGATCCTTCTGGAGTTGCTCAATCAGATGGATGGCTTCGATCAGAATGTCAATGTCAAGGTCAGATATCTTTCTTTCCTTTTTTTAAACTGTACATTTTCAATTTCAAAACAAAGAAAAATATCCTGTATTTAAATGAATGGGAAATGTTTCAGAGTTTCACACTCCTGTAACCAGAAAGTTTTTATGAAGTTCAATTCTGTTGCAATATTCAGGCTGAGGATGCATTATGAAGCTCAGAAACGTTTCATTCATTGCTCAATGATATGGTCTTCAAGATGCTAAGATTTAAACTTGACACAGGGCTTTAGCTACTAATCAATATTGGGTTTAACAAGGGGACTATAAAGGCAAGTGTGAACTTCAATAATAATTTCAATATCATTTAACTACATCAAAGTACCTTTTAATCTGCCTTTTTGCAGGAAAAGAAGAATTTTCAACAATTATTGCCTAGTGCTTAGGAACCTCTTACATGTTCCTTTGCTTGTGTAGTTAGATATGTATCATCATCCTTATCATCATCATCATCATCACCATCATCATCATCACCATCATCATCACTACCATCATCGTCATCATCATCATTTTTATTATCATCATCATCATTATCATCATCACCATCATCATCACTACCATCATCGTCATCATCATCATTTTTATTATCATCATCATCATCATCATCACCAAAGTTATCATTGTCATCTATGTATGAAACGCAGTTGCAGAGGGTTTAAATGTTGAATGTGATTTTGTAATTGTAGGTGATCATGGCAACGAACCGAGCCGACACCCTTGACCCCGCCCTGTTGAGACCGGGTCGTCTAGATCGTAAGATTGAGTTCCCTCTGCCTGACAGGAGACAGAAGCGTCTTATCTTCAGTACCATCTGTGCTAAGATGAATCTCTCAGATGAGGTTGATCTAGAAGATTGTATCCTTTACCGAATTAAGAGACATTTTGAAAAACAACTTGTTTTCCGTTTGGCCCAAACTTATGTCGTAAGGAGACACGACCACACCAAAAAGACTGTATTAAACCCTTCCATGGTACAAGAGTGAAGGGGGAGAAGCAAGGCATGTAATTGGCACTACTGATGCAAATATAGCTATTCATGAGCACCACTCCCAATGTGGGCGTGTCTCCCAGAAGCATTTATAAAAGTGTAAAGACAACATATAGCACACCAAGCAATTACAAAATATATTGATATTAATAAAAAGGCAAGAATATTATTGCTCACTATCTATTCAAACAAATAAGTCGTTATATACTCTATTAGTCTATTCTTATATTTAGAAAGGGACATCCAAAGTTTCTTGAATTGGTTCGACACACAGAAACAAAGATAAAGGTTCCTTAACTATTCTTTCCCTTCTCAGACGTAGCAAGGCCAGATAAGATTTCAGGAGCTGATATCAACGCTATCTGCCAAGAGGTAAGGACTCATGCTAGTAAAAACATACCAAGTTAAAGGGAAAGTTGAGTTTTTGGAAAGTTCTGTGAAAAGTGTAGATAATATTTTTATGTTATGCTTGGATGGATTCAGATACAGATTCACAGTAATTTGTGAAACAAGAATTTAAAATCAGTGGTGTTCTTCATCAATAATGTTGCGGCATGAACTGTCTCTGCCTTTAATCCTTAAATTTGTATTGTTTTTAATCAAAAAAAGAAACTGTACAATACAAATGTGTAGTTTTAAGATTGAATTAATCTGTTGTGTTTTTGTTTTAGTTTTATTGGAGTGTATCATTCATTTATGAATATTTACACCCTGCTTTATGTGGTGCTTAGCCTTCATTCAATCCTCTTTCTATTTAATCTATGTTTCTGATCCACAGGCTGGTATGCAAGCTGTACGTGAGAATCGCTATGTAATCCTGGCAAAGGACTTTGAGAAAGGCTATCGGAACAACATCAAGAAGGACGAGACTGAGCATGAGTTCTACAAATAGACCATCCTAGATATCAATTAAAATTTGATACAATTAAACTTTACCACAGTATTGCTTCTACTACTACTAATCTATTTTAAAACATTAACAGCCACAAGCAGTGTTAGATAGGGGAGGGATTGTTGTAAACCCTGTTTGAAAACGTTCATGATTTATCCATGATTTGTATATCTTGTCAGCAAGCAAATCACAAAATTTATGAACAGTTTGCATTTTAACATCTTAAAATATATCCTTTCCTTTTATAACTTGTCAGCACATCTGGTCCAATTGGTTGGGACTCCTCCCCCCCCCCCCCCATTCAAACAAGTGTAGCTACGCCCCTGTCCACCGTGGAGGTGCCATGGTATAGTGCTTTATTCACTTGACTCTCATTCCTAGGGTCAAGAGTTTGAATTCCAATCTGGCACTAATGTCCTTTGGCAGGCCGTTAATCCACATTAATTGTTGCCACTGTCGCCCCAGGTGTTAATAGGTACCTGATATGCCAGAGTGCTACAGATTTGGCAGATTTGGCCGAAATCAGTCAAAGTCGCATAAAATCTTGACGGTTTTATTTAACCCCCATGAGATAATCCCTTTTACAGAATGAAATACACTGACCATATACATCTGTACAAATCTACCATTCTGATGTTCTTGTTGCAGTCAGTTTATAGAGATGCTCAATTATTCATTTCCTATTGCATACATGTAGGATGGTAATCACTGGAGAAGTTCATCTTACTTTCAAATTAGTTCATTCTTCACAATCAGTAAAAAAAACCTACTTGTTTCAGTAAGCAATCATTTGCTGTGCTGCAAGCTACTTCAGACCTATGTCGTATCTGGTGTTGTTGCTGATGCAGTACAACGTTACTCTTTCACCAATGTACAGTCAAACCTGTCTATAGTGAACACCCTAGCAAAACACAAAAAGTGGTCTTTGTAGACAAGTGGTCTTTGTAGGCAGGTACCTTTGCTACATGTTTCAATGAGAAATAATTTTCAAGGGAAACAAATAATGTGGTCTTTGTAGACAGGTGGTCCCTAAATCAGGTCTGACTGTATGATCCCATTCTACAGTATCATTGTATTGTACATTGCCATTGATTAGGAGAGTTTGGACACCCCGGTTTGAGTTGGGCATCAAATGGTGAATACTGCTATGTTGGGCAAGCACACGACTAAAAGAATATTATGCCTTGCTGTGACCAACTGAAAACCATGTTGGCCAAACTCTGTCTATAGAGGGCTCTGGTACTGCCACACAGAGAACTAAGTCTCAAAAAGCTTGCAGTATGATAAGTGAAAGCGCATTTAAACAGGTAATATTTATACCGATTGTGAAGATAGAACTATTTTTCAAACATGGTAGTATTATTGTAATATTGTTAGAAAAAAATGTTGTTGAGCTGTAAATGCCACATGTTCATGAAAGTACATGTATAAAAAGGATGATTTTCCCAATATTGCTTTAAGATTTTAATGACGGTTTTCAGTCAGTAAAGATGTATGTTAAAAACAAATATGCTGTTCAAAATTTGTACTCTATGTCGATGTTTTGGCCGTTAGTTAGTGGCTGTTTGTAAGGTAAAATCACCAATTATGGAAATGATGGAGAAAATGGAGAAACGTGTGATTTAAACTGAATGAAAACAAAAGTTATCAAAATTAAATGATGAATACAGTGATACAAGTATTGGTTGTGATGTTTACACATAGTATGGTAGTGGTAGTAAAGGGGTATACACAGTGATGATGATGATGATTATGGTAGTTATAAGGAGTATGATAAGTAAAGTAGTATTGGTAGTGATGATGATAGTCATGAGAATGTGATGGTGATGAGAGTAATGGTGATGATGATGATGATAGTGATGATGATGGTGATGATAATGCTGATGATAGCGATGATGATGATTATAGTGATGATGATGGTGATGGTGATGATGATTGATGGTGATGATGATGATGGTGATGATGGTGATGATGATGATGGTGATGATGATGATAGTGATGATGATGATGATTATAGTGATGATGATGGTGATGGTGATGATGATTGATGGTGATGATGGTGATGGTGATGATGGTGATGATGATGATGATGATGATGATAATAGTGTTGATGATGATGATAGTGATGATGATGATGATGATAGTGATGATGATGGTGATGATGATGATAGTGATGATGATGATGATGATAGTGATGGTGATGGTGATGATGATGATAGTGATGATGATGGTGATGATGATGATGATGATAGTGATGATGATGGTGATGATAGTGATGATGATGGTGATGATGATGATGATGATGATAATAGTGTTGATGATAGTGATGATGATGATGATAGTGATGATGATGATGATGATGATGATAGTGATGATGATGGTGATGATGATGATGATAGTGATAGTGATGGTGATGATGATGGTGATGATGTTAGTGATGAAGATGATGATGTTGGTGATGATGGTGGTGATGATGTTGGTGATGATGATGATGATGGTGATGGTGATGATGGTGATGATGGTGGTGATGATGTTGGTGATGATGGTGATGGTGATGGTGATGATGGTGATGATGGTGATGATACAGATTCTGATGATGATGATGATGATGATGATGATGATGATGATGATGATGACCATCTCGTACTGGGGTATATCTAGTTGGTACTCTGTCTGAGTCTCATTTACATAGGCTTGTCAAAAATTGCTTCCTAATCTTGGGAAAGCTCATTCAAATGATAAAAGAAATAATGATTGCTTCTATAAAGTATTGCATCAAATGCTCTATCTTGGGTAAAGGGCAATCATTTTCTTTCAATAGACAGCGTTTGAAAGGAGATTGCAGACACTTGCATAATTCATGGAAATCATCTTGTTTTTCAGAGACTTGACTTCTATAAAAGTAAAAAGGCCATTTTAACCGCAACCTAGTTCATTAGCTTTTCATATTACTGCATTAATAATTCATCCTAGGCTCTGTCGTAGGTATCTGCAATCCCTTTTTATCTCTTTCTGATGTCTCTTCTCCCTATTTTGACGGTTTTTCATAATTTTTCTGTGGTGGGCGTTTATTCTCTCTCTCCCCCTCTCTCTTTCTTAAGCACCCCCTCTCTTTAATATTAAAATGTTAAAATGGAAAGTGTATACACTTTCCATTTTAACATTTTAATATTTTGCTCTTGCTTCTGTCCTTTTCTCTCTCTCTCTCTCTCTTTCTCTCTCCCTCCCCTTTCTCTCTCTATCTCTCTTCCTATCTCTCTCTCTGTCTCTCTCTCTCTCTCTCTTTCTCTTTCCCTCCCTCCCTCCCTCCCCCCCCCCCTCCCTCTCTCTCTCTCTCTCTCTCTCTCTCCCTCTCTCCTCTCTATTCTCAGAACATTATCGAACATTAACCCTGTCCATTCTGCCATCTTGCGATTGCTAATTAGAAGCTGTATTGGTCAATGCATCTCTTCTTATATCTCCATGGTCAATGATAGGTGTACATACATTTAGTAGCGGCCGGCCGGTTCTATAGATTGGTCCCCCCTTCCCCCCCCCCCCCCTAAAAGAAAAAAATATATATTCAAGCCTACGATTCCCTTCAAAATTTGTAAGCGGCATACTTATGTAGAAAACCAAAGCAAGAACCCCAAATTAAGCCCCCCCCCCCTTCTAGATCTACTTCTGCATAATACTAGATCTACAAATAAAGTAACCTGAAGTAGCAAATGGAATATTCAATTCAAAAAACCAATTAGCTGAGAAAAAGAAGGGTTTGAGCTACAGAGCTCACAATGATAAGCATATCAGCCTGGCTGTCATAGCCAGTGGCGGATCCAGGAGGGGGTCGGGGGCCTGCCCCCCTCCAAGCCACTGAACGAAATATCTGACGACGTAATTTTTCCAGTTTCCAGGGCCAAACAAAAAATGAACCCCCCCCCCCCCCAGCAAACCTAAAAGATAGAGAAGGAAGGGAAGGGAAAGGGAAAGAAGAGAGAAAGGGCAAGAAAAAAAAGAGAAAGAAGAAAGGTAAGGAGATCAGTTACGATTTTCCGCCAACAAAGTGTAGATTAGGGGGGGGGGCGGGGCACTGGCGTACTGATCGGGGAGGGGGCTCGGGGGAAATGAAATTCAAACGTGGTTTATTTCTTATTCCATAACGGTGGCTTACACATAATGCTGAAATGACATAATTTTCCGAGATTTTTCCTCAATTGTTTGTGAATTATACTTGTTTTATGCGTTTGTTGTAAAATGACAAATTCCTAAATTTACAGCCAGGCAAGACATGCTTCTTGAGATGCCTACATGTCAGGGCCCGAGGAACGGCGAGGATCGGGAGCCTCCAGCTCCCTTCCCCTCCCCCTCACCCTACTTTGTTTGAAAAAGTATATTAAAGAGAAATAGAAAGAAAGAGAGCAAGAAAGAAAGAATAGTTAACTGCCAGTGTCACAACAAAATAAGATATCAAAAAATGCTCATCTGACCGTAATCAAACGCCTAAAACCCCTGAGCTTCCGGGGGCTCTGCCCCCTGGACCTAACCAAGGGCCCTAAGACGGGCCCCTTGATACTCATCTGACCGTAATTTAGTGCCTAAAACCCTTGAGCTTCTGCATGGGGGCTCCGCCCGCTGGACCTCACGCCAATCAGTGTCCTGCCAGTGTAACAAATAAGGTATAAAAATATGTTCATCTGACCGTAATCAAATGCCTATAAAACCCCTGAGTTTTCGAGGTTTCCGCACCCTCGACCCCACCAGGGGCCCTATAAGGCGGGCCCCTGAATGCTTATCTGCCGTAATTTATTGCCTTAAACCCCCGAGTTTCCGGGGGCGGACAAGGTATCAAAATATGTTCATCTGACTGCAGGCGCGTAGCCAGGGGGCGGTGGGGGCGCCCCCCCCACCAAAAAATAGAGAGGAAAGAAAAGAAAGAGGAAGTAGGAAGAAAAAGGAGCAGACAAAAAAAAACATTTTTGAAATTCAGACGAGGATTAAGAGTCGAGGATTTAATGAAACGTAAAAGCTTCCGCGCTTCGCTCGGATCGAGGGGCCAGTGAAACTGAATTCAAACGAGGATTATTTTGAGAACGGTACAACGAATCGTCTTCTTTCTCTTATAATGAAACGACAGCAAAGCTTCCGCGCTTCCCGGAGGAAGGGGGGGGGGGGGCTGAATTCATACAAGGATTAAGAGTCGAGAATGGTAATTCGAATCGTCTTCTTTCTCTAATGATTTCACTGAACGTAAAGGCTTCCGCGCTTTGCGCGGGAAGGGCCTGGAAAACTGAATTCAAACGAGGATTGAGAGTCGGGACCGGTACAACGAATCGTCTCCTTTCTATAATGATTTAATAAAACGTAAAAGCTTCCGCGCTTCGCGCTGGAGGGGAAAAACTGTATCCAAACGAGGATTATTTTCGAAAACGGTACTTCGAATCGTCTTCTTTCTCTAATAATTTAAGGAAACGTCAAAGCTTCGGAGCTTTCCGGAGGAGGGAGTGGAAAAAAGCTCCTCCCTGCTCCCCCCCCCCCTGGTCACCATTACGTACCAATATTTGGTGGCAAAATTTCAAATTTGCCCCCCCCCCTAGGAAATCCTGGATCCGCGCCTGGTCATAGCATAATTACATGAAGGGCCTTGCTTGATGTGACCCCGATGGAAGCCTTCATCGTTTTGACGGGGTAAGAAAAACTATAGGACTGGTATGTATAACAAAATCCCGCCGTATTATAATCAGGCACGTAGCCACGGGGGGGGGGGGGGGGGGGGGCACGTGCCCCCCAAACAAATTCTAGGATCGATTGAACTTTTTTAGACCCCTTTTTTTTTTACCTCGATCGATTACATGTATGTGCCCCCCCCCCCCCCCCCAAACAGCAAACTCTGGCTACGTGTCTGATTATAATGATTAAAATTGGAAGATTGGAGTCTTATTATAAATGCCGAATGTGTCACAGTAGTCCCCCTTCGTTCCCACCCCTTATTTCGGTGACTATATTTGAAAACCTTTACATGATTTGTTTCATTGTCATCATTACGTTTAGTTATTATAATCACGGAAATTCATTGTAGCTTAGACGGTTGTTTTTCAAAAAAATCTGTTAACTCAATACAAAATAATTCAAACAAAAACCAGTTTATTTGTGATATCAAAGCTCAAAACAGCGCTGAAATTCGAGCGAGTTATAACTATGTGTAGTTAACCAAATCTTTTATTCGTTATGACTGTGCACTCCAGAAAATGTTGGCATTGATGTTGTGCTGTTGGCAGGATGGGGGCTGTCCATTAATGGACGTTAGACTAACATTCATCCCGTTGGCGAATAAAGTAGGACACATAATTTTTTTTTAAATAATTCTATATGAAAGAAACTATAAGACTGAATGCGAGTGGGAAAGGGAGAATGAATGTATTGGTTTTAGAATGATGACCGACAGAGGGGCCAGAAATAATGAACGGAAACAGGGGAGGGGGAAGGGAGGCCCAGTCATTACGGTAAATATTATATTAACGAATAATGAGAATATATAGATTAAATATGAAAAGGAGCTACATTGTAACAGCTTTTCCATTGCTTTAACTGGCGTACAGGCCTACTGATGGGGGAAAGCTAAAATCACTCATATCAAATGTTGCTGAAATATCATAATTTTCCAGGATTTTTTCTCAAGAAGAAGAATATGAAGAAGAAGAAGAAGAAGAAGAAGAAGAAGAAGAAGAAGAAGAAGAAGAAGAAGAAGAAGAAGAAGAAGAAGAAGACTGAGAAGAAGAAGAAGAAGAAGAAGAAGAAGAAGAAGAAGAAGAAGAAGGAGAAGAAGAAGAAGAAAAAAAAGAAGAAGAAGACTGAGAAGAAGAAGAAGAAGAAGAAGAAGAAGAAGAAGAAGAAGACTGAGAAGAAGAAGAAGAAGATCAGAAGAAGAAGAAGAAGAAGAAGAAGAAGTGGAAGATGAAGGACGGATCGAGGATACAAAAAAACGATGTGCATTTCTTGTAAATGTTGGGACAAATAAAGAAAAAAAATGAACGGATAGTCTGAACCTGTATAAATGAGACAAAAAGAGAGAAAAGAAAAATAATTTGAAGGACTCGTCTCATGCACCGCGTGAGTTGTTTGCACTTATGATAATCATCCTAATTATGTCGGGTGTAACTGAAACTAATAGGAAATCACTTCCGGTTAGTTCCCCATTCATTTGTACACACCGGTATTATCTGACGTACGCGAGTTCCACGTCGCTAAACCAACCGAGTACACACACCCTCACCGCGCCGTAACTGCTCGGTAGCAGGAGTGAGCTAAGCTAGAGGACTGTCTACGGTTTTTCTCATTCATAGACCGTTAGACGATTGGATTAGCGTTTCGCCAAGATGGCTTCTTTTCAGCGGCAGAGTTCCGCTATTTCAAACGCTTCAAGCTCATCTTTTATGGACAATTCTGTCCTGTTATCAATATCAACACTCAGGCAACTTATCATCAACAATATTGAATATTTTCAGAAGCTTCGAAGCAGTACAGGAGAGAAATTTTACACTTTGTTTTGCGTGATTGAGCAAGAAGCGGATGCTATGCGACCGACCGTGGAAGCGCTTGAACGAATATCTCACAACTTCGATTTTGACCCCAAAGTACCGGGCAATGGATACCGAAGTCTAGTGCAAGTTGTAGATGCATGTGTTGATAGACTCATCAAGGTTGTCAGAAGTATATCACAAACTCGTGAAAGTTATTTGTTTCGAAGTGGCTTTCACCTGAAGGAGTTGGAGTCGTACGGGGCGGTACTGGGCCAGCTACGGGTGATCCTCGGGTACGCTCAGAAGCTGGTCGCCTACTCGGAGCCGGGCAATTTATTCCCAAACAATGATGAACAGTTTCCCGAAAATGTAATGCTAGAGGTTCAGGCTTTGGATCGAGAATGTTTTTATGGCAGATGTCTTGGCTTCCAGGTAAGTAGATCTAGACTAGATGATAAATACATTCATTCATCAGAAAAATGTAAACCGGGCCATGCATGCCTCGGCCTCCTCAGTCCCCACTCAAATTCAAAATTGTTTCAAGAGTTTGGCCTAGAGGCTAGAAAGGTCTACTTAATTATGGAATTAACCCATCGATTTTTGCACTTTATTTCTTTGTTTTACAACTTTCATTTTTCCAGGTACAGCCAGCCCATGATATCTGTTTTCTTTTTGTACATTTTGTTTGAAGACATAAACCCAGGTTAAAATTTTCGTTAATCCTGAAGTCTGTAGGCCTAGACCTAGACTAGATCTATCTAGTAGGCTACAACTATGAACTACAAGCCCAATGTTATTTAACTAAATTTGTTGTTATTCATTGATTTCTTAACCGTCATCCTGTCCCTGTAGACCTAATCCCCCAACGACCAAAATGCACCCTGGGATGAGCAGGTGAGTCATAACTCATATGACGATTTATCTCAAATTTCATACAGCAAAATGGCAAATGAGGACAGTCGCTGTTCAATCGTCAGTTTGCATCATTGTGAACTCTGCTGTCATCATGTCATGTATTTTGTTCATTGACTGTCCTCATTTGCTCTATGATTTTGAAATTGTAGATAAATCGTCACATGACTCACTTGCTGTCATCATTATCATTTTATTTGTTGTGATTATCGTTGAGTAGGTCTAGACCTCTAGAAGAAAAAAAACAAGGCCAATTTGGGAGATCTATAGTCTTTCAAAGTTCAAACACATCAGAGACTTACTTTTACTTTACTTTTAATTTAATACACAATGTAGGTCTAAGCCTGTTCATCGATCCAGGATTCTTCCATGGTTACTGCTATTTGTGGAGGGAGGAGGTTGTGTAATAACATGTGCATGTAGATGTATTGCATGAGAATGATAAGAACAACGTAAACATCAACAATAAGGCAATTTTTCCCCTGCCAAATTTCTGCCTCTCTGGGGCCAGGAGCCCATCGGTGTTGAGTTCGGTTTATAACAAAAACTCATAATGATATGAAAATTATATAAAGGAGACAGCAAATTATTAAAGAAGATGGTCAGAGCGTGCAATTTTTCATGAGGAATCTGCTCATCAAATTTTGATTTTGGGCTGAGGTAAATCCCTTTGCAGCTAATGTAAATAAAGGAAATGGGAGACAGTCTCCCAAATAGGAGATAATTCTTCCATACTGCCCTTGCGCCTCTAATGTCAGTAGTATTATATGAAAGAGAGAGAGAGAGAGAGAGAGGGAGACAGAGAGAGGCATTAAAAAGTGAATGACATTGTAATCCTCTCTTTGGCATAGACTTTGAATTCATATTCAATCCTCCTGCCAGCCTAAAGTTATATGGCTTATTGGATTACATTCATTGCCATGGTAATATGTAACTCACCCTAGATTCATATCTTGCATAACATGTCTGTTGACAATGATATTAATGTACATGTATACAGTCTACTGTATATGTGCATGTACAGTAGGTTTAATAGATACATGTGTGTTAAAATGTAATTTTAATTATATGAAATTGAAAGTGGATGACAAAGACCCAATTGACCTTGATGAGGTGGGTATGAATGGTCCGCTTAATTGGCGGGGCGGCTTCTAGATTGACACAGGAAATTAAGAGGCTTCTGTCAGATTCAGAGAGGAGAGCATGCTGTGATACATGTCATCAAATGTAAACAAAAACAGCCTACATGTAGAGCTACAAATGTATGAAACTCTGAAATTCACCAAATTTGTTGTGAATTTTAATGGAGGATATTTACATGTACATGTACTGTACATGTACATTTTCACAACCCCTGCATACAACATACTGTACATGTACATTTACTGTAATATACACATCAAGTATATATGCCATGTTGGCTTGATCAATGCTTACAAGTACACTGTACATACATGCACCACTATCACGTGGCAAACTATGAGACAGGGCATCAATTACTTAATGATTACTTGCAAAAGAAAGTGAGAGTTCTATTTGCATACTTTGTTGCATTTCTATAGGCGCGTCTTCATCATCTCGAGATTGCCAAATAGCCTGCTATTTGGGAAATAATCCCGAAGTAACAAATCGCGTCTTTACTTTCTCGAGATTCGACCTCGAAACTCGAAACTCGACCTTGAGAAATTAGCTCAAGATATTTTGCTCAACGTTAGCCTGTATTGCGAATCTTCGGTCTAGTGAAGACGCACGAGACAAATAGCTGGATATTTTGCAAACTATCCCAAGAAATCTTGGGATGACAATCCTGACCAAATATCCTTCTAATTGCTACTTCGGTCTGATGAAGACGCAAATTAGCTGGATAGTTTGCGATCGGGATAGTTCAAATAGCTGGATATTTGGCAATCTCGAGATAGTGAAGACAGGCCTCATGGGAAGTTTGGAAATTTGATATGTAAGTTTCAGTCACATTTTCTATGCTCAGCTCAATTGCTCATGTACAGGTACATACAGAGATCATATTGCTCATGATTGTGCCATACAAGATACAATGTACACTAAACAGTAACTGATTGTTTTGTATACAATGAACAATGTTCAGATCACATGTGTTCATTGTGAATTAATAGGGACTTTTAGATTTGCGTGGACTGCTACATGTAAGTGTGACATCCTTTTGAGGCACTGGCACTGGCAGCACACTTAGCAGTCCACGTTGTTGTCGTGCGAATCTAAAAGTCCCTGTTGTAGGCCTAATACATGTATGTACATGTACTGTACATCAATATCATAGGCCTCCCATACAGAAATTAATTGTATGGTTGTGAAATTGAATCAAAATAAAAGTTAGGCCTTTTTATGTAATTTATTGAGAGTGTTTATTACGGAGGGTACTACAGTTAATACTATCTGGATGTGTACATGCACAAATTGACTAATTAATTAAAACAAATAAAACATGTACCTGGTATACGTTATTATAGACCTCCAATATTTTAAATTTACTGGTTACAATCAAAATAAAAGATAGGCATTTTTATGTAATGTACAATGTTCAGTAATTGGCTCCAAAACATGCTGGAAAGCCTACTGTATTCAGTATTCTACATGTGTGCACATAAAAGTACTCTACGTGTGGGCAGATGGGGATTTTTAATGATTAACTTGTGAACGTCACGGTTTAGAGAATGCATGATCCATGCTAATGCAGGATTTTCATGAAAAACAATATAATTCCCCCTCATTAGAATTTGTGCAGCCAGGACATTTCTTACAGCGTACAGTGTACAGTACATGTATGTAACTATTTATTAGAGTTTGCCAGCTGGGCAACCCAGTTGCCAAAATGAACTTAGGTTTGAACTGCACTCAACTCTCATGAAAATGAAACACTGTTTGTAACTTTGTATATTGAACATATTTCAATGGCCTTTGTTCCTCAATCTAAATCATGGGGGGGGGGGGGGCATCCTGTTTCAGTCAGAGTTATTAAAATGAAAGGGTCTGGGCCGCCATAGAAATATGTTTTGCACAGGGGGGGGGGGGGGGGGGGGAGGGGGTCCATGTTTGCATAAATTTTCAGGGTATTGTGCATGAGGTACCTGTTAAACAGTTATCAAATGAGGGGTAGAGGGTTGGGGGAGGGGGGCGGGGGTAGGGGATCACAGGGTTCAATTTTCAATTGGGGGCTCTAGACTCAATCCAGAAAGTTGGAAAGGTTCCTTCTGACTTGCAGCCTCATTTTCCTTATAAACACACCACCAAGTATCGAGCCTTGCCATTGCTTTAGAAAATCTAGATTTTTTTTCCTTCTAAGAGCAGGGTAATTTCTACCCGCGGGGCATTGAGAGTTAATTCACATCCCTATCTCCTCAATCACAACCGTCACAGTGCAATAAAGAATCCCGTAATGTTTGGAGCGTGGCTAAGGACATCACAGCCTTGGTTTGAGCTAAACGAGCCACCGCACGGCAGGCAGGCAGGCAGGAGACTGTTTTGATCTAAAATGGATGAAAATTACTCGGAAGGTGAAGTACCTTAATGGCTGCTGCCTCCTAGTCTCCAATTTGTAATCAATAATTGGTGAGGAGGTCAGAGCGGTTTGCTCGGGGCGTCCGTCCATCCACGCTCTCTGAGGATGTGCATCTGCGCATCTCTGATTCAAACTAGTAAGAAATGGGTTTGCCTTGCTATGCTGTTATTGATCATCAACTCTGGATTGAGATAAATTCTCAATGATTGACCTAGAAAAATTCACCTGTTGGTGTTTTACAAAGAGTAAGAACGACTTAAAAGTTTGACTTGAATTATGGCAGGCCATTCATGCCACTAGTTGCTCTCACCATTGGTCTCTCAAGGGACGTCACAAATCTAGAGAATCCACAATTTTTGATAAGCTATTATTGAAGGAAAAGACATTATCTGAAGATCATAATTTCAAAGGTTTTTTTTACTCTTATTGCACATCTGGTTCAAGACTTTTAAAGGGCATAAATCACCTGCCACAGTTCATGTCCAACTTAAGGCAATCTTAGTCTTTGTGAAACACCCCCCCCCCTGGAATCTAGTCTCTAAATCCAGACTCTGTTTTTACATATGACACAAATCCTCCCCTACCCCCTGGACCCCCTCCCTTAGAATGCGGTTTGCCCTTGCTCTACCTTTAATGCTGTAGACAAATTCATGCTCGAAATAACATCCAAAATTTCAGACTTCCCAAAATAAATATACATGTACATGTACTGTAAGAACAGACTTGTCTCCTGTTTACCCAATTTTAAGGTTTGTCAGTGTTTGTAACAGGTGGATTCTCATGTAATTTCAGAATGAGTAAAAAATATTTATTTAAAGTCTCTGAAACCATTTCCCCCAAAAGGTGATTTGCTTTCTGGATAATGGGGTACGATAGTGGGGTTCGATAGTGGGGTACGATATGTACATATCTAGTGGCAAGCCTAGATAAACGCGCTCTTAAATAGGGCTCAGTCTGGATCCCCCTTCTCCTCCAGTTGAAAATA